GCATTAAAATACTGGGTTGCATTAATAGGGCAATATTAAAAGATGGAGTCCTGTAGCTCAGTGTTTAGAGCACTCGCCACGCAAGCGAGAGACCTGGGTTAGATTCCGGGCACGGTGAAACCTTGGCCAAGTTTCCTTATTCCACACACCTGATTATAATCCCTCAAGAAAAAAATAATGATTTGGTCACTCAATCCACGATGTTTGTGGGACACTGCTGTGCGAATTGGCTGCTGCATTTTGCCCACAAAATATACAGTCAATTCACTTTGCAGTATATTCTGTGAAGCGCTTTGAGATGTCTAGAAGACGGGATAAGTGCTATATCAAATGCAAGAATTATTATTAGAAGAACAAATTAGATATATTTCTGCTAGAAAATAATATCTTAGTATATAGTTCGGGACACAAAATATCAAGCGACTGCCATGATGGTGGAAGGCGAACTAGATGGACCTTGGTCTTCTTTTGCCTTGCAAATTCTTATGTTCTTATGAATCCAGGCCTGCTTTCCCTGCGCCATATGCCAGATTGGGGAGGGTCACATTTGCTCACCCATTGCCTACAATGATATTTAAAATGTGCCCCAAGAATGAACAAACTCAGAGTGATTCTGTGTTAGCCCCACAGAACTGCATCTTAACCAGTTTATCCAGAGGTTTAGGGTATCCCTTGATATCCTTACCCGAATAATTGATAGGGCAGATGGGACCTCTTAGCCAGCTTTTGTCAGTCAGAGAGCAACCCGAGTTGCCCAGCCTCTAATCCTGAAGAAATGCGCTAGTAACAACAGTACATGGGAGGAAACCTTCAAAGACAGCAAACTGTGGCAAACTGTGCTATGTAGGCAGGGAGTTGACGATTTTGAACAAGCTAGGAAGAAGAACATAGATAGAGGAAGGAGCGTCAGTCTGCTGCGACCAAACCATCAACTGGGTCAACTCTCACATCTGTGGTAAAATCTCTCTCTAGGATTGGTACACAACCACCTAAATGCCCACCAAAGCCGAGGCCAGTCTTAAAACTCGAATCCCCCCCCCCCTTTTTGGTAATAGCTGAGGAACAATCTTGCTTGATTATTGAGGGATGGCCTACTGCTATTATTAACCCTGACATTTGCTTCACAATTCATTCCCTCCATGACTGGAAACTCGCCACGTTACTAGGAGTTGAGGTACAGATCAGCCATGATCTAACAGAATGGCGGAACAGGATCAAGGGCTGAATGGCCTATTCATGTTCCTATAAGTTCACAAAAACTGCATTCAGCCGCTCACCCAAAAGTTATCTGCCCAGTTGTGGATTGACGAAATGTGAAACGCTTTGCACCACTAAGGGGCGCTACTGCTCTCCTTTTTGCAATGAGCGTGAGTGCGAACTGGCCTCCAGTTCTGGGCGACATGTGCTCGGCTGCACAAGCTGTCACAATCTTCTGCGTAACCCTACAGAGGAAACATCAGCCCTTGCAAGGAAGCTACAAGCCGATTTCTCCACAACGTCCCTAATTCGTTCTGCAAACCCGCTCCTGTGCTCTCCAGGCATCAGCACGTGGGGAATGTGTTCACCCTTCCTCAGAGCTGGCAAACAGAAGCTTTGTCTCTGCAAGCTCTCACTGCGGCTTACCGAACAAACAAATGTCATTGTCGCCTCATGCCATTGGCTCCATGTTGAACTTTTACTGGTCAAAGCCAAGCCACAGAGCAAGTGTGACATGAAGCTCCATCCCAGTTACAACAATAGCAACAACAACTTGCATTTATATAGCGCCCTTCACACAAGGTAGCATCTCAGATGCTTAATAATAATAATAATAATCCTTGCATTTGATATCGCGCTTTTCACGTCTTCTAGACGTCCCAAAGCGCTTCACAGAATATACTGTAAAGTGAATTGACTGAATATTTGTGGGCGAACAGGTGGAGCGTGATGCTGGGGTGAGGTGACCATAAGCACGGCCAAAAAGAAAGGTCTTCAGGCGAGATCCGAAAATGAGGAAGGAGGGAGCAAGGTGGAGGGATTGAGGGAGAATGTTCCAAGGTGCTGTGGCATAGTGGCTGAAAGCATGGCCACCGATGGTGGAGTGGAGGGGACATAGGACAAACATGAGGCAGGAGCCAGATAGAGCGGGTGGTGGAATGAGACGAAAGCAGGTCAGAGAGGTAGGGAAGTGCCAGGGCATGAAAGTATTTGTAGATGAGTGTGAGGATCTTGAAGTTGAAAGTTACCCACAACCCAACAAAACATCAATTTAACATTTAGAATAGTTGTTTTCTTAAAAGCAAAATCAAATTTTAGATCTTTCTTGATTCCAAACTTTACACTTTGGTTTCATGTTGAATCTTTTTCATAAAAGGGAAGCACCCTTAAATTTCCTTTTTTCAGTCAGACTTTGTAAGACATGCCCTGCATGAAAAAGCGATGCTGAAGATTTTCGCGGTGGATGAAAGGGCCAACATATACAAAGTTCAAACCCAACAGTCAGAAGTTAGCGGAGAGAAAGACCCGGGAAAATAAGATGGTTAGAGTCAGAGGCAACAGGAAGAGCTTTGAGGTGGGAAGTAGGGCAGAAAGATGACGACTTAATGAGGTTTAATGAAGCTGTCTGCTAGCAGGGACAGCTGACAGGCAGCGCTTCGCAGCCCAGCCAAACAGCTCAATCACTGTTCCCAAGTACCGAGCGGGGAGTCACAAACTGCACACATGCAACACAGCGATCAGGAGAAGACAATAGTCACTAAGAGAGTATACACACAGGTCAGAGCCATGTTGTTGTATGAGATCTGAAAAGTCTGGTAGTGGATATTTCGGCAGTGAAGTTTCATGGCATCAGAGAATGTTATAGCACACAAAGAAGCCATTCGGCCAATCAAGTTTACGCTCTTCATTCTCTTCACCCAGTTTAATCCCATCCTCCTGCACGCTTCCCCCTTACACTTTAACATTCCTCTTGTTTCGAGCATCTCTCAAGTGCTTTTTTGAAATACTTCACGGACTCCACCTCCACAATGAAGATTGACGGTTATTGTGGTATATGTCGTATATGTTACTGGAAGTGTATGTAATTTGTAAACCAATTTCTCTTTAAGAACTGTGGAAATCAGTTTCTAATTAAGACTGAGTTGTTCAGGGAGGAGCCGGGGAGTCCAGAGTCCGAGCAGGGCATTGGCAAAGTTGGCAAGGTCTGGGCTTCATGAAAGTGTGAATGAGGGCCTTGGTAGCCCAGGGGAGGGGAGAGGTAGTGGCAAAGTCGGACAATGTAAGTGAGAGGCAATATGTGGGGTTTGAAAGACAGTTAAAGGGCAAATGGGACGCCAAGTTTCTGGGCTGTCTCCGTAAGGCAGAGTGAGCATCCATGCAGGTTGATGCTGGCAGCACCTGAGGTGATAAGGTGCAATCTGTGGAATCCTGTAGTGTAGTGGTTAGCACCCTAACCTCACAAACGAGAGGACCAATGTTCGTTTCCCGGGCAGGGCGAACCATTGGGCAAGTTTCCTTACTTCACACACCTCTGTTTACCTAGCAGTAAGTAGGAACCCGATAGTTAGTCGATTGGTAAATCGCTTTCCGGGGGTAATAATCCTTCAAAAAATTATAATAATAATTTGGTCACTCATTCCACGACTGTTTGTGGGATGCTGCTGTGTGCATTTGGCTGCTGCGTTTTGCCCACAAAAATACACAGTTACTACACTTTACAGTATATTCTGTGAAACGCTTTATCAACAACGTGATAAGGCGCTATGTCAAATGCAAGGATGATTATTATTATCATTGTTATTGTTATATGGGTGCTATGGACAGGGTGGAACCTAGGATGGAGGGGCTCAAACTGAGAGTGATGGAAGAGGAAAGCACAAAACTGCGAGGCGACTTGTTCCAGCACCTTGGAGAGAAAGGACAGGATAGAGAAAGGTTGGTAACCGGGGAGCACTGCTCCTCTTCCAGCTTCATATTCTCCACGGTTCAAACAGAATCACAATAGCTTTTAAACATTACTTTAAACAGTGTGCGGGAAAGGGCAGTGGAGTGGAACTAAATAGGATGCTCTTTCAGAGAACCAGCACAGGCACACAATGGCTAAGTGGCCTCCTTCTGTGCTGTACCATTCCGTGATTCTAATGTCACACAATGGACTGAAGTTGGCTTGCAATGATTCCTGGTGATTTAATCAATACTGTCCTAGTAGATCATGACTGTATGATAATAGAACATGTAAATATTTATTTACATTGCACTCAGCTTACCTATGTAACTTACTGCAGCCTGGATTGTTCATTGAGTCCTGTAGCCTAGTCGTTCGAGCATTTGCCTCGCACGCAAGAGGACCTGGGTTCGATTCTCAGGCAGGGCGAAACATTGAGCGAGTTTCCTTACTCCACGCACACGTCTCTGTTTACGTAGCAGTAAGTTGGAACCCCAGTTGTTAATCGATTGGTGGATTGCTTTTCTGGAGGTAATAATCTCTTCAAAAAAAATTTGGTTACTCAATCCATGCCTGTTTGTGGGACACTGCTGTGAGCAATTGGTTGCTGCGTTTCGCCCACAAAATATACAGTCAATTCACTTCACAGTATATTCTGTGAAGCGCTTTGAGACGTCTAGAAGACATAATAAAGCTTTATATCAAATGCAAGGATTACTATTATAAGCACTTTGAGACGTCTCGAAGACGTGATAAGGCGCTATATCAAATGCAAGGACTATTATTATTATTAAGTCCTGACTGTTCTAAAAAGTAAATAAAACTCAGAGGGCGAAATGGGTTTTGCCAGGCACCTGAGTCTGACCATGAGGCTTCCTCTTCACCTTTCCCCTGTGCTGGGTTGCCTCCACAGCATGTAATTGCATTTTCTAGAGATTTAGATCAGCGTGTGGACAGACGGAGGCAGAGCTCTGCAGAGACCCACACAATGAGGCTGCAATCGCATGCTTATTATTGGATGGTTGTAGCTTAGCTCTCCCAGTCACAGGAGGCCTAACAAAGACTGATAACAAGAAGCATGGACTTTCAACCCGTTGTCGGGGCTGGTTTCAAACCTCCTTCAGACCACCAGAGGGGGAATTTAGTCTACGTTAGCTCACAATCCCTCGCCTGGGCAGGAACACTACACAAACTAAGTCATCTTATTCTGTGTGTGTGTGTATGTGTGTGTGTTTTTTTAAAGTCAGAGCTTGGCAAGCCAAGGACCAGAGGCCTCCTTCTGCCTGAGCCAAGTTTTGTGTATGGTTTCTATTACGACCGCAGCGATGGTGGCGTGCCTGAAGGTAAATCAGCACTTTTATGTTTAAACTTTACACTATATTATTATTTTCTTTATTTTTAACTTTACTATGATAAAGTGAGTTGTTATTATTTACCTTATAAATCAGCAGAATTACATAAATTTCATGTCGGGAGGCGCTGAACAGTCAGGAATTAGGAATTATATGCATTAGGGATTATATACTATACTGTAGGGCTTTGCCCACCATTTACCTGCCTCAGTAAAAAAATATGATCAACGCAAATAACATTTGAAATAATGAGTTTGATTTTTCTCGATCACCATTTTCCTCAGCCATTGGCCACTGGCGAACAGTGGAACGCAAAGTTGCAGACGGTCAGCTGAAAGTCAAGAGGGATTTTCAGGCAATGAATAAAGCAGCGATCAAAGCTGGGTTGGTCACTGCAGATGAGCATTACCAATTCAGGGTAACGCACGACATCGGAGTAAGCCTGGATCAGAAAGTGAAGAATGAACTCACTCTTCCCGACATAGCCTTCGGAAAGCCACCACGGTAGGAATTTGGAAGAAATTTATCCACTTTTCAAATTGTTTCCTCTCGTGTGTGTCCCAGTTCTGCTCTGGCTAAAATTGGCAAACTCAACACAGACTCGCGATTGAACCTTCATTGTTGGGCTCAGGGCTAGATTCTACAGTGAATTTGAGTAATCAAGGGTCTTCCATTAACCCAGTCAAAATCCAAAACATAATGCTCAGTTTCTTGCCAATAATAGCCTGAATTGAATACAGAAATGCAATGATTAGGATCCATTCTCCAACAACTCTCCAAAGAAACTATATTTTCTCAATAAGTGAGTTGTCTAAACTTGGCACAATGTTCTAGGGATGTACAGATTGGGCGGGGGCGGGAGGGGGGGGGGGGGCTGTAGAGGCCCAACTGGCTGGTCCCAAAGTAAAAAGGTTGTTTCTTCTCAAACTCACAGCTATTAAATATATAATCCTATTTGAAGTTACCAGGAGACGTTGTTGGCTATTCACCAACTAAGACTTTTAGTTTAAAGATTCAATTTTAATGTATAGCCAGGGATAATGGACTAGCTACACACATGCTCAGGTACACCTTGTGACAATCTGCTGTCGCTCAGTCCCATTGCCTCGAACAACAAGTGAGTGCATTATGCAATCTCTAATGGTACCAAGCAAGTATGGATTTAGGGGTCCTTTCCTGACTCTGAACCCCTGTGGAGATGGAAGAGGTCAGAGAAGGTGCACGTTTAGGTGATTGGTGCAGGAACCTCAACATACGTGATACAAGCCAGAAGATAATTAGTTTTGACATCAAACTCGATCATGCTCAGCTACAAAGGTTATCACCGGCACACATAACATTGAGACTCTGTCCCAGCTCAGCTACATTCCTCTGAGTCCTGGCCATGGAATTCAGTGTGAGCAGTGCCAATAGTAACACCCCCCACCAAACACACTTAAAGAATGATCTATTGCAAATAGAACGTACAGTATTTCAGAGGTAGTATTGATGCCTCTCCCTAGTTAGCAAAGGATACAGACGGAACACATTTCATTTGCGCTCATCTTCAAAGGTAAATCAGGAAATGCCAACATTTTTGTGGCCCTGACCAAATCGTTTTCCCACATATTCTGCTTTGTACCGGAAATGTCTCAGTAAACACATGAATAAACACAGGAGTAGCAAACATCCAAACATTTGCTTCAAAAAGGGGCATCCGAGTTCAATCATCACGCACATGCTCAATAGGAATGAATGCCTTTGGTGTACGTAAATTACCGGTAAATATTGTACAGTGGAATACCGTATAGCATGTTGCCATTGCACATCAGTAACCTACCTGGAATATTGAGACACATATCTTGGATTGGCTTGTTATTCGACCTAAAGTCACTCAGCGGTCAATCATTACTGGATAAAACACAACATATCACTCGCCTCTGTTGTGTCTCGGTATCAAGCACTGCTACACGCTAAGGTACATTGGGTGCTTAGTCGAGCAAAGCAGCCAAACTTTGAGAGGGCAGGAAAAACCTGTATTTATTTATAAGAGTCAGAAGCCATCCATCCAGTATCCTTGATACAAGTACCAGCTCTCTATCCAATGAGCACCCTCACAAACAGCACCTTGGGTGCAAAATTGTACAGAGCCTTCATTTAATGGAGGCAAGATATATGTAGCAGGACTGAGTTTTTGGAATGTGTACTATGTATGTGTGCACTATGAATAATTCAAGTCCTGTTTTTTCAAAATGGTCCAAAACATATCTGTGTAAAGAAAGGCACGAGGCGTGTAATTATCGTGGGTGAGCATCACTTGACAGACTGCATGAGGTTTATATCTGCCATCAGTGTATTTCTGGGCTTTGATACCGGTGTATTCTAAGCGCACAGAGCCTAACCGGTGGCACCGGTGCTGGCGGGCTGCTCGGGTTCTCTCCACATTGTTATGCTGACAGTTTGTTGATGGCTACTCAGTATCTGTCTGTCTGCCTGACATCATCCAAATCACACGCTTGTTACAGCCGGGCTGTGCTGTGCTGAACGCTCGCTTATAGACTCTTGCTCCCTTGCTCACAGCTCTCATAAAAAGACGTCGTCCTTTCAACCCCCAAATAATAATAATAATCCCTGCATTTGATATAGCGCCTCATCACGTCTTTCTGACGTCTCACAGCATTTTACATAATATACTGTAAAGTGGATTGACTATATAAGCAGGTTACTCACACAGTACTCTGAATTTAAACAAACCGTACAGCAACGTCTCACCATTATTTATTTATATTTTAAATATAATAATCTAGCATTTGACACATTTTGTCTTTGACGTCACACGCACACATACACACACGCGCTCGGAACAAAAAAGGACATTTTTATTCTGTCCTCTTTTTGCCTGTTCAGGATCAGAGGCAGATTTATTCTCTCCCTGATGCCTGTGGTGTTCAGATCTGGGGAGGGTCAGGGAGGTGGGGAGAGTACAATAATAGATAAGATAGGGGCTCCCACGGGGCTTGTTGGCCGCACACTCTATCCATCAGCTGCCTCTCCCTCTAACCAAGGTCAGCGTTAATAAGGATGCAGCCCCCTTGGGATCCTCCAAACAGCTCCCAGCAACACCCGGGCGTTGCAATGCTACAAGGGCCAGAGACTGAGCCAGAGCGAGCAGCGCTGTAGCTAAAGATCAGGTAGCGGAGCTATGCCTGCCTGGCTCCTCCACCCTGCAGTCTGTCTATATGTTCTGTATACACAGCCCCAACTCAAGGGTGGGAGAACAAGACATCAGAACCATCGAATTTTACACTGCAGTTTCACCCACAAAATATACAGTCAATTATTTTATAGTATATTCTGTGAAGAGCTTTGAGACGTCTCAAAGACTTGATGAAGCGCTATATCAAATCCAAGGATTATTATTATTACAGACGAAGAAGGCCAATCAACCCAATGTGCTTAGGCTGACTATCTGAAAGACATATCTGTTTAGTCCATTGCCCCTGCTTGCCCCCCCACCCCCACCCGCCACATCTTTTTTATATGATTTATTAACTTTTCACATTTTTTTTCTAATTCCCTTTTAAAAGGTTTAATGAATTCTGCTTCAACCAGTGTTTGGGTAGGGCATTCCATATTCTAATAACTAACTACTGTTCAAAAAAAAGAATAGTATTAATCCTTGCATTTGATATAGCGACTCATCATGTCTACGAGATGTCTCAAAGCGCTGCTTAATGGAATATACGTGCAAATTGAATTGACTGTATATTTTGTGGGCGAAATGCGGCAACCAATTGTGCACAGCAGTTTAACTTTTTTTTTATGTTCTTATATTTTTATACATTCTGTTTACCAAGTAACCAACCATTGAAACCTCGCATGATTCTGAACACCCCTACCAGGGCTCTTTTTAACCCTCTCTTGTCTAATCTCTACATATAAGTGGCTTATGTGACACTGAAGGCTTAAAACAGCCACTGCTAAACCTATCAGTAATATAGTACAGAGCAGCTCCAAGTGCATACTTAGAATTATCGTGCAAGCCACTTGAACAAACATTTAAATAGATATCATGCTTCAATCCACTTGAAAACCCATATGGCATATAGGTATGAGCACTGATCATCATTAGCCTTCACCCGATATCCACGCAACCTCACTGGCAAACTGCAAACCCCAGCAACAGCCAAATACTACCCACAACCACAAATAATAATAATATTAATCCTGGAGTAAGGCAACATGCCTAAGGTTTCGCCCTGCTCAGAAATCAAACCCGGGTCCTCTCGCTTGAGAGGCGAAATCTTTAATCACTAAGCTACAGGACGCCACCATGTGCAGGTGGGATGCACTGTCCCTGGAGGTTGAATGTTTAAAAGGGACTGAGATGGATACTTGGGAAGAGTATTAAGGAGCGTGGCGAAAAGGCGGAGAAATAGGATTAAAAGATCTGTCATGATGTATAGTAAACCGGTAGACCAGGCTGGACATGCTGAGTTGCCTCTGTTGATCCTGTAATTCAGCCTCTGATCAGAGATGGTCGCCTGGACAGACCATAGGGACCACTTCTCACGTTATTAAGGAACCTTGTCACGCATTAAAGGCTAGCCTGCAGCCAATAGGATTTTTACGGCGGGAAATACAAATGAGCTTTGGTGTTGCTAATCGCTCCACTGCCCGTGGGGAGAAACACATCTTGCGCCGTTTCTATTGGAAATACAGTTCAGCTTCACCTCATCATTGAAAATCTCCCAATTAATATTTTAACCTCTGCTTGAAGATTTTCCTTTTATAAAAAAAAACCCCACAAACAATTAAAAGGCCCAGTGGCCCTCCTCCAATTAGTCACAGTGTCCTGTCCATGTATGTATTGCTAAGTACCTCAATTAGCAGCCTGCTATACTGTCCTTGTTAGCGTACAGACGGAGTGGCCAGAAGGGAACAATTACTTGACTGGAAGCGTGCAGTGTGCAGGTGGGAAGTTGTATTGTGGGCCCAGCCGCTAAGGGACCCTGTTACCATTGCCTGCTTCTCTCAGCTGAGGGGCGAGGAGACTGGAGTGTGGACAGTGAGGCTTCTCACCTCACAGTCACACAAATACACACACGCTCAGACAAACACACTCACACAAATACACACGAACACACTCACACAAATACACACGAACACACTCACGCAAACACTCGCACAAATACACACTCACACAAACACACTTAACACACTCACACACAAACACACTAACACATACACAAACAAACACACGCACACAAATACACACTCACACACAAACACACTAACACATACACAAACAAACACACGCAGACAAATACACACTCACACAAACACACTTAACACACTCATACACAAACACACTAACATACTCACACAAACACGCTCACACAAATACACAAACACACTAACACATTCACACAAATACACACTACCACACTCACACAAACACACTCGCACAAATACACACACACTAACAAACACAAATACACACTCACACAAATACACAATAACACATTCACATAAACACTAACACTCACGCAAACAATACACATTAACATACTCACACACTCACATACAAAAACACCTCTTTGTTACATTGCTCGCCTCCATCTGTACCTCATAACCAACCCAGCCGATACCCACGTCACTTCCTATCTGGACTATTGCAACGTCCTCCTCGCTGGTCTCCCCAGCTCCCCGTACACAAAATTCAATTAATCCAAAACTCCGCCACTCGGATACTCACCCGCACAACTCCATACCCCCATCACACCAGTCCTTGCCCGGCTTCACTGGCTTCCAATCACCAAATGGATTGATTTCAAGATCCTCTCTCTTGTTTTCAAATCCCTTCATGCCTTCACACCTCCCTACCTACCTGTCCTGCTTACCCCTCCACTCCACCACCCGCTACCTCTGCTCGACTGGCCTCCAGTTTGTCCTTCGTCCCGTCCGCTCCATCATCATTGGCCGTGTCTTCAGCCACTACAACCCAAAACACTATCCTGTGTGAAGGGCGCCATATAAATGCAAGTTGTTGTTGTACACACAAATACAGACTAACACACACTCACAAATACACACTGACACACACACACACAAATACACACTCACACATACTAACACGTAAACACACACAAATACAGACTAACACACAGACACACAAATACAAACTGACACACTCACACACAAATACACACTAACACACTGACACACACTGACACACTCACAAATACATACACACATCCCTCAGACTTTTAACTCTGAATGTAAACTTTCTAACGATTTACTATTTTCACACAAAATCACACTCACAGACACACTCACAAATGCACGCAATGGTTGCCGGCAATTAGACTGTGGGAACTCATGCTGCAGCCACCATTAGCCCCTCAAGTAAAAAAACCATTAATTCCTTGAGCCTTACATTTTTTTTCACAAAATATGCGCATATTTCTCATCTGCAAGAGACTTTCGGCAAATCTTTAGTAGCAAATAAGACAGCAGAATTAGAGGCATGTACTGAACCGTGCAATATTTTTAATCCATAAATTAGTTGGGTTATCTCCTCTGAATAAACATAAAATAGGTTGTTTCCCCTCACTCTCTCTCTCGCTCGTTTGCAGACTTTTAACTCTAAATTTAAACTTTCCAATGGTTTCCAATTTTCACACAAAATCACACTCACAGACACATTCACAAATGCATACAGACAAAAAGCATTGACTTACATATCTACATACACACACACATTCAATCATCACCTGATATACACACACATACTCATTCAATCAATCATTCACTTACATACACAGATATCAACTCACACACACACTCATTCGATCATTCACTTACATACACACACACTCGTTCACACACACAAATACACACAATAACACACATCAATCTGTAAACTGCAGGCAGGATACAGCAGCCAGAGAGAGAGAGAGAGATGGTGAGTGTCCTCTGGGACCGGTACCTGACTGAAGCAGATGCCTCCTCATCCCCCCGAACATACGTTTAAGCACAAGCATTTTGTATTATAATGAATTGCAGGTTGCAGCTAGCGATTCCCACTCTGAAATCTAACCCTGGATTGCACCAACAAACCCCCCAGGAGCTTTCACTCCTCTAGCCATTACCTCTCAGACCCAGACCATCACCGTGGATTCCCCTGTTTCCCCAAATAGTTTCTTAAAATAGTTACTTTAAAAGCAGATTATTAATTACGATTCATGCACTTGGTGTGAAGGAGGCAAGGGTTTAAATAGGACACAATACAGCGAGGTACAGTGCTGTATTCTTTTATTTCCATTAGAGAGAGAGAGAGCGCGAGAGAGAGAAAAACGACGGCACAACAAATTGCTGAGAGTTGGAAGAGCTGATGAGATTATCATTGACATTCTGGGAGGTTATTCTGACAGTAATGTTCTTATGGTAGGGGTAATAATAATAATAACAATCCTTGCATTTGATATAGCGCCGTATCACATAATTGAGACGTCTCAAATAATAATAATATTCCTTGCATTTGATATAACACCTCATCACATCGTTGAGATTTCTCAAATAATAATAATAACCCTTGCATTTGATGTAGTGCCTTATCATGTCATTGAGACGTCTCAAAGCGCTTCACAGGCTACACTGTAAAGTGCAGCGACGGATAAAATGCGACAGCCAATTGCGTCCCACAACTCCAAAAACAGTCTGTTTTTGTTTTTTTTATATTTTGTTTATCAAGACATTTCAAGGCGGGATAAATGGACAAGGCATCTGCTAGCTGCTTATCTGCACCTGAATTGATTGTTCCCCAGGCCTTCGACCCCCATGTTTGACCTCCTGGAACACAAGTACCAGCAGAAGTGGCTGGAGGAACAGAGGTTGGCCGACAAGGCTAAGAAGAAGAAAAAGTTGCGGGAGGTTAGTTTGCAATTGAAACCCATTTAGTTCAGTACAGGGTGTTCACAAAGTCCCGTTACCCCCATGTTTTCCTCCTCCCCCACCCCCACATCGCACTGTCCAATAACTGAAACGTGGCAGAATGATGATAATTGTATTTAGAAGTAGCTAAGTAACAAGCGCTCTGGGACAGTACCCTGCATGAGGCGGTGCTATATAAATGCAAGTTATTGTTGTATTTCGACGTCCGGAAGATCGGTCATTTTCACAACACTGTGACACCAATACACCGGTGTGAACAGAGGGTTAGGAATGCAGAATATTTCCAATACAAATTGATGCAGGACAGTGCAATATATACTTGATGTAAACAGTTGTCTCTGTTCTGTGCTTCCAGGTTAAAATAGGAAAGATTTACGAAACCCGGAGCTCGATATTACGCAAACATGTGACGAAGGTGGAAGAACCGCCAATCCGTCCCCCACCGCACCTACGCAAAGTGAGGCTACTCTTTGCTTTTACCTTTTAAAGCATTTTGCTTAACAACAATGTTGCCTGAATCACAGCAAAGGGCACAGTGTAACAGCCTAGCATAATGGCACAGGGTGTGGTGCAGTAACACAGTGCAATGTACATAAAGAGACATGGGATAGGGTATAATAATAATAATAATAATAATCCTTGCAAGTGATATAGGATGCAAGGCACACCTCAGGACCCTCCACTTAGATCGTGCCTTCAGTCACCCTCCTAACCCCACCCTCGCCGTCCTCCACCCTCCCTGATCCCAGCCCCCAGCAACCCCCACATCCCCACTCGGGTCCTAATACCTGACTGTTCAATGCCTTGGGACATGCTTCTGACGTAAAAGGCGCTTTTCAAATGTAATTTTGTATTGTATTGTATAGCGCCTTCGAAACGTCTTTGAGACGTCTCAAAGCAATTCACAGAATATACTGTAAAGTGAATTGACTGAGTTTTATGGGCGAAATCTAAGGGTAAGGCATAAATGACAAGGTATTTATAAGCGTGGCCCTTTCGTAACAATTTCTAACCTCCCATGTTTAACACGCAGCAAATTCTGTGTTGGGACCAGGTGGTGTAAGTGATGCTGGAAAAACATCCCTGACTCAGACTTAAAGGTTTTGAGAGGAAAGTGACAGGGAAAACTAAAAGAAAAACCATTCAAAGTCGCTGTCATTGGAAGATGCTTTGAAGGAAAAATAAAAAGCATTGTCCAAACCTCGCTCAAAATATCTCAGCATGTTACATTTCTCAATTCCTAGGACATTCTGTATGTATGTGTCCCATTAGCATATGTCAGTAATCATTGTACAACTTGCCTGTCAGCTCAAGGCTGCTCCACCAGGTAATGTCAAGGAAAGAACACGACCCTTTAGTGTGCAGCAGATTGTGTGAATCACCAGAGATCTGAAGGGGCAGCTCGCACACTCCCTCTCTCACCCTCTCCATCGCTGCCTCCGCCTTCTGCACAACTCCACAACCACTGCCACCTCAACCACCTGCATTCTCTTAATGACGGTGAATATGTCTGCCCTGAAAATGTAGTGATAAACATGAGAGATGGGGCCAGTGAAGGTGAGATTACGCTTGGTTTTGAGGGAGAGATTAAAGAGTCCTGGATTGTTGTTGCTGCCTTCCTATGGGCCCCATCCATAGAAGGGTACACAGATATGGAGAATTGCTAGTTTGCCAACATGATCAAGATACCGTTCAGCACAGAGTTATACTCACAGTACAGTAAGCTTAGTGACACTAAGGTTATATCAGAAACCGAGAGTGGGGAGGAAGTAGAGACAAGGGATAGGAAACAGGAAGAAGGATACAGGGCAAGACATGCATTGAGGACGTGGAATGGGGATACAGAGCAGGGACAGTGTGCTCTACCACACTAATCTTTGCAATTTCTGTGCAACCTGGCTGGACGTGTTGGTAGCACTCTCTGTGTCAGAAAGTTGTGGGTTCAAGCTTCATGTCGGGGCTTTGAACTCATAGTCTAGACGCTAGACTGACACTGGAGTGCAAGGCATGTTGGAAATGTAAGGATTATTATTATTTAATGTTAGATCTGTAAGGAAGCACCAATTGGATTAAAGCACAATTACTTCCTAATCGAGTCACACAGGCTGTTCTTGTTACTATCAGAGAGGCAGGTATAGAGGCCAGTGTGGTAGAAACCTGCGACCATTGGCTCCCTATGATGAAGGCTGTGAGTGCAGAGAAAGTAATGTAATAAGGACATTTCTGACTGTGGGAATCATCAGCTCCTTGTAACAAGGTGTAACAGAGTAAATGTTACAATATTGGCAAGTTAACCAACCTCACACTGTCTGCAAACAGCCCACCTTTCTCTTGGATAAAACCTCTATCCAATCAACTCTTGACATACTATCCGAACATGCCTTAAATCCTCTGCCATTCAAGTGTAAACCAAGTGCTCACCATTGCCATAACAGATCTGTCTCCATCCTCACTGCTCACACCCTGCTCTGCTGGAAGCATGCTCAGCTCGAATTAGCCTCATTCCTTTCCCCGCACACACACTGCAGTCTCACAAATCCATCCTCCTTCCCACCTACAACAGAGCACACCAGCTCTTACCAGGCACATCAAACTGGCCACGTGTGGAGAATTTAGCTGAGAATATCATGCATTATACAAAAAAAGGCTCACATATGTTCTTTCTGCTGGAAATGATATTTTATAGAATTTAGATTAATACAGAACAAGGATTGGTTAAAGGGGTTGTTTGGAAAACCTTTAGCAGCACTATTTTGGTGAACTATTTGAAGCGTTCTGGAATGCTACCCTGCATACGGGGAGCTTTATAAATGCAAGTTGTTGTTGTTGGCAGCAGCCAAAGACTGATTAGGAGTCATTCCCCACTCCGCCTAGTCTGGCCTGGTCAACCTCCAATTCTTAGCGAACATAGTGATAGGTAGGAACCCAAAGGCCTCTGATCCATCTGCAAACAGGCCAATGTGGCAGCACAGTGAGCATGTAGCCAGCACGCCGACAACCATGCAGCCAGCACGCCGACAACCATGCAGCCAGCAGGTCCAGAGAGCGATGCAATAGAACTGAATGGAGGAAGATAAATTCTTAAAGGCAAAAGTCAGTGGTGATTGGGAGAGGAACACCAGCTTATCACCATCCCTCACCCTCTAGCACTCCATCCCACAGTCCCTTCTCCTCGCCCCCTCCTTTACCTCCTCCAAGGCCCATCTCAAGACGTTTCTCTTCAACTGCGCCTTCCGCGACCCTCCTTCCTCTGCCCTCCACCCCTCCTGATCCCAAACCCCAGCTCGGGTACAAATCCTTGACTGTCCAGTGCCTTGGGATGTCCTCCCGATGTGAAAGGTGCTGTACAAATGTAATTTGTAGTTGCAGTTTCTCTCATTCAAAATGGCTTTGCTTATATGTTCTGATTCCTTATTGCTGCTTCTCCTGGTTTGGCGTCTGTATAAATATGTCCATTTTAATATTTGTTTCAATAATGTAACTTTCCAGCGTAACATGAAACTGAGTGAGAGTCTCGGTTCCAGTGCAGGCCCAGGGAGACCCTTCCCCAGCTGCGAGCATGAATTGGGCACTTATAACCCCAATTGTACAAAGATGCAATTAAACTCCCTTCCCTTTGGAGGAACTTGTGTCGAAATGTTAATTTCTGCCCTTCTGATCACTGTAAAGTCATCAGGATCCATCCTCCAACCAACGCCCTTGAAAGGTGGAAAGTCAATAGGAATTTCTAATGGGCGAGCGAGATATTCTAAACCAGATTCTCGGGTACTCAGGCCAATCACCTCTGTGCTTAGTGCACCAATTCAGCATGTTTTACAATTTCTAAAAAATATTTTAAGAGATATTTCTTCCCAGATAGTAGTTATTGTTCAGTATAACAACAGATTTGCATTGCATCACTGCCTCTGTGACTGATGAGCATTTTTTGGCCTGCAACCCAGAAATTCCAGAGGGTTCTTCCATCCAGCTCCGGCAATCTGTCCTCACTAACATCATTCTGCACTGACCCACTTGCATTCTCACTGTGCTTCATTGCATTTGCCCACAAAAGGATCCACCTTATATTGTTCTGAGGTCTCTCCACTTGTTAGCCAGTCACCGTGGTCAATTTATAAACATTAAAGTCCCATTTTACTGCTCTTTGCTTCCAGTTAGCTTTGTTACTGCAGTTTTTGACACCAACCACTGCATCACATGGCCAATTTCCTCCTAAGGGAAGGGAGTATAACTGCACCTTTGTACAATTGGGGCTGCAAGTACCCAATTTGTGCTAGTGGCTGGGGAAGGGTCTCTAAATGTTTTACAGTCTAAAACATTTAGAAACAAAAACACTTGTCTCAAAAATTCACCGTTTGAATTCACCATGTGTGTATTTGACACAATGTCCACCAGATAAGAGCATATTAGAACCAGAGGACACGGCCTGCGATCGAATGGCGGTAAATTCAAAACAAATCTGCGGAAACACTATTTCATTGAGCGATTAGTAAATGTATAGAACAGGCTCCAACATGTTGATTCTTTCAAAAGCAAATTAGCTAGATTTATTTTAGGAAATAATATATCGGGATACAGTGTACAGTTTGGGACATGACATGTCATGTGACTGCCTGGATGGTGGAAGGCGAACTGGATGCACCTTGGTCTTCTTTCGTCTAAGCCATTCTTATATTCTTATGTTCAAATGCAATTCTGTACAATTGCACCCATGTCCAATTTTGTGCTTCTCTCTATCTATACATCGCTCCAACTGTAGCTCTGTTTGCTCAATCTGTAGCATTGCTGTAGTCGGGCAGTTCAATATTCTGGTTGGACACACTGAGCCTCAGCTAGAGATAAGCAGAGACCCACTAACTGTGTGGTTGCTTTGGACAAATCCCATTTAATGTTTTACCCTAAGCCATTTTGTTCTTTTTGTCCTATCACCACAGTGATTCAAACTATGAATCTGACCAACTCAGTCATGAATTGTGTTACTGCTGGAGGGAAAGAGGTGCAGGAAAGTACACCCCTCCCCACTCTGTTGAAGAGATTGCAGTTCCAGGAATCATGGCTTTGACTTGGGTCAATTCAATAATGATTCAGTTAGCTCCTGGCATTACCCAGGATCTCAGTTGGGAGTCAGCCATGGTTTGTTCACCTCAGTAACGTCTATCAGTTTCGGAGCCCAACAGTCCTAGTCATGGCATGAACATACAGATGGTTAATCAAGGCATTGCAGACTGCAAAAAAAATTCACCTGCCACAGCTTTTTGTAGTCGTATTGAAAACACTTTCCTATCCAGTGCAAGGATTGAAAAAAAAGCTTTCAATTGTGTCAGACAGATCCTGAAATAAGCCATAATCATCAATAGGCCCAAAGAAAGTGATGAGGCTTCTCACCTGAGCTCTGAGCACAAGCCTCCAATTAAAGAAAAATTGTTTGTTTTTAATGGTCTTTTACACTGACAAGTGGACAATCATTCCAGCACCGGTAGCTGTCAGGGAGGCAGGAAAATCCTCTGTTGAGAACGCCCAGTGCTTCCAATTAGGAGCAGAGCCGCTCCTGGAGCGCTAACGATTCCCTAGTCTCCACAGGCTCTCGATCAGACTTTTACTGCAAATTACTGACACAAAACAACTTGTATTGATGGCGGAACATGTCGTCCACGGCTGCTGAGTTTAATGAGGCGATGGAAGTTTTGGGTTTGCTGAATTTCTTTTGTTTGACAGCTGCTTGGGAAGAGGAGTGTTGACCTTATAAAAGATTTAGTGATTCTCATTATATTCTGTCAAGTAGCAGAGTGATGTGTTTCTAAGTCATTTGCATCTAGCCTTCCTGTGCATATCTTTGCAGCGTGTTCTTATATCAGAAACAACAGTAACTGTTGCAGCCTTTTCTCTGTCAGGGAGAGAGTGTGGAGAGGGTTCATCCGAAGCTGTTTCCATTTCTTAATACTACTACTACTAATAATAATCCTTGCATTTGATATAGCGCCTTATCACATCTTTCAGACATCTTGAATGTACTCTAAAGTGGAGTGACTGTATATTTTGTGGGCGAATTGCAAATTTCTTTGGGTAAAGGGGGTAAAAGGAGCCATCACAACGTACATTATAATCTAGTAAAGAGATAAAAAACTTTAGTTTTAATCCGCACTGGATGTGTTCTAAATCTATCTTCCAATATACAGTGGAAAATGAAGGGGAATAAATAGTACAAGGACCATATCCCTAATACAAGCCTCGACCACTGGCTGTGCAAGATTGTAATGAAAGGATTAACAGTGTGATTATTGGTCAAAGGAGTGTCCAAAGGCCAGTGGCCATGCCCTTTGTATGTGTTTGCCAATGAGGAACTGTGCCAGCTGACACAACTAGTATGATCTGTCCTTGGTACTAGCGATGTAACAAACGCACGTTTGCCTACAAATACAGTTAGGGTTTCACCCATAAAATACACAGTCAATTCACTTTACAGTGTATTCTGTGAAGAGCTTTGAGATGTCTCGAAGACATGATAAGGCGCTATATCAAATGCAAGGATTATTATTATTATTATCACTACACTTTACAATCAAATCTCTGTCAAACGCTCAGAGATGCTGGACAATGCGATATTGGAGCTAAATCAAATGCGAGGATTATTGTCTTAAAGAGGCACGTGGCCATGTTGGTAGCTTGAGTGCTTAACCCTTCTTCTGACATCCAAGACCACGAGATTCAGGACAGGAGGCCAGAGACAGGGGGCAACCAGCATTCCTTGGGGCTTCATTATATATCCTATCATATGGACAAGGCCATAAAGAATGCATATAGAGTCATTAGTTTTATATTTATAGGAACAGCATATAAAAATAGTGAAGTGATGTTAGATTTATATAAAACCTTGGTTAGGGCCACATTTATAGCACAGTGCGTTTCTGGTCACCATACTTGAGGAAGGATATTGAGGCATTGGAGACAGGTGCGCACAGGTTTATCAGGATGTTCTTAGAGCTGAATGGGTGCAGGTATCATGAAAGGCAGGTTGGAGCTATGGTAGCCAGTAGCAGATCTAAAAAGTGAAGTTAGGAGGAATTTCTTTATGAAGAGGGTGGTGGGAATGTGGAACTCACTCACTAGCGGAAGCTGTGGTTGAAGCTGAAATCATTTAAGAAGGAACTTGATGCATGCTTGAGGGAGAAAGGAACAGAGGGCATGGGAAAGGGGAATAGTGGGAATGGAGGATCACATGAAGTATAAACACCAGCATGCCACTTAACTGAACTGATGTGTATCCCAGTCTCACTCAGTGAGTGCACCTTTTTCTGGCCCACTGCAGTCTAGTGCTGGTTCCACATTGGCTCTCCACTTCTAGATTCTACTCAATAGTTTTGGTTCTGTATTGCTCCCAGTGTGGTCCCTCCAAAGACATCATAGAGACAAATCATATCAGTGCTATCAAGCCCTTTGATGTGGTTTCTTTTGATTTTTCTCTCATAGCCGTTTTTTTCTTTGCCGAAACTTGTTCCGTTTCACGGAATTAGCATTACCAGATTTTTTTTCCCATTTCTTCGCACGGAGAGACGGGTTAACAAAACGGGGAACCTGACAAACACGGTTTGTAAGTGTTAAAGAGCATCAGGGAAAGCGGAGAGATCAAAGAAACCCCATCAAAGCAGTCGCTTCTTAAAATAACTAAGTCAAACATAGCTGAATGCCACCGCCGATAACAGGTAATAGTTAGGGATGTCACAAAGCGTATGACATCGACTTAAACTCTAAATAAAGCTGCGTCTCCCATTTAATTTGAAATTCAATTGAAACATTAAACTCAGCCCCTTAAATTCACACAAGGTGAATGTGGTTCGCAAGATACACCCAACAACAACAACCACAAATTACATTAGTATGTCGCCTTTCACATCAGGAGGACATCCCAAGGCACTGCCCAAGATAGACCCAGATCTATTGGTCAGTCAATCTCCCGGCTGTGTGCAAATCAAGTGTATTAATAATAATAAACCTTGCATTTGATGTAGAGCTGTATCACGTCATCGAGACATCTCAAAGTGCTTCACAGAGTATATTGTAAAGTGGATTGACTGTGTATTTTGTGGGCGAAACAGGGTAGCCGATTACTACAGCAATGTCCCACAAACAGTCGTGTTTAACAGTTGTGTTGATGATTGTGAGAAAGCCGCGATGTCAAATACAAGGTCACAGACGCAAACTCAGAACTTGATCAAAGAAGCCGATTAACTCTCGCTTTTGTTTTTGCAGATTCAGTCTCACCTGGACACGTTCAGGACACCCGAGGCACGACACGCGGCTTTCAAAGCTCACTGGCTAGAGTCTGCAGCGAGGAAGGGTATCTATGGAAACGGCATCTACGAGTATGATTAAATTAACTCTTAAAAATGTCCAGAAAACAGAAGTTTGAACCAGTTAAAGTGAATTCATTTTGTAACGTTTGCCGGACAAATAATTGGTGCATAAATAATTTAGTATTAAAGTTATCTTTCCCTCATTTTATTTGTGGTTTCCCCCCCCACCCCCACCCAAAAAAAAGGACAAATAACTGGTTGGTGCACTTTACACTTCATTCCGTTCATTATCGCCTCCACCAGTGAGCAGGTGACCCGGAATGGATAGTTTTACTGCCTGGTAGATCGCAAAGCTGAACAAGATAAGTGACAGGAGGATTTGAACATAGTTGGGAATTGGGCAGATCGGTGGCAGATGAAATTCAATGTAGAGAAATGTAAAGTGCTTCACATTAGGACAAAAAAATCCTGGAACAACTATTATTTGAACGGAAGGAAAATAATATGTATGGAAAATGCAAAGAACCTGGAGTCCTGATTGACAATAAATTGAAGCGCTCCCAACAACGTTCTGTGGCAGTGAATAAAGCAAACAAGATGTTTGGATGTATCGAAAGATCAATAGCAGCTGAAATAGTGGGGTTTTCCTACCACTGTATAAATCATTAGTGAGACCATATTTACTGTATATAGTTCTGATCGCCTCAGTATAAAAAGGATATTGGAGAAATCGAGAAAATACAGAGGAGGGCAACCAAAATGATTGAGGGAATGGAAGGACTGGACTATGAGGAGCGACTAAATAAATTGGGCATGATCACGCTGGAAAAGAGAAGATTGAGAGGCGGCATGATTGCTGTCTTTAAGATTCTAAAGGGGCAAAACAATATAGATCATGACCGGCTGTTTCAACTTGTCCAGCATAGTAAAACCAGAGGACACAGCCTGAGATTGAAAGGGGTAAATTCAGAACAAATCTACGCAAACACTATTTCAGTGAGCGAATAGTGAACCTGTGGAACAGGCTCCCTAGCGAGATGGCTGAAGCAGGAAGTGTTGATTCTTTCAAGCACAGATTAGATAGTTTTCTTTTATGGGATATAGTACAGAGGGAGTTTGGGACATATGTGCATGCGACCGGCAGGAAGGCGAACTAGATGGACCTTGGGCTTTTTTCGTCTAGCATTTCTTATGTTCTTATGTTACCTTTGTTCAGAACAAATGGAGTGCAGTGAACCTAAATGAGTTAAATTTCCTGCTATGTTTCAAATTACTTTGTGCTTTTAACTTCAACAAGTCCGCAAGCTTTTCAAAACTTTTCCGAACTTCATTTCCTGTTGATTGTTGACTTCATTTCCTGTTCCTTAATTTCCTTATCCACAGCCCCCTTCATGGTCATTCTTGCGGTCATCACAGTGAGCTGGGTAAGAGGCCCAGGTACATCATACCCAGCTGCCCCCTCCTTACCCAATACCCAGCATCTCCTTGATCAGTCCATCTCGTTACTGGAAGTAACAAGGCTTGATAATAAGAACATAAGAATTTGCCAGGCGAAAGAAAACCAAGGTCCATCCAGTTTGCTTTCCACTATCCTGGCAGTCACTTGACATGTCGTGTCCCAAACTATATACTGTATATCCAGCCGTTACATTTCAGTTGGGTGATTAAGAAGCGGGAACTGTTAAGACCCGTAGCCAGGAGCTATCTGAGGTCTTGCTTTTTCAGCTGAATCATTCTTAATAACCATCCTGAACCTACAGCTGAGCTGGCGCATTAGCCTGGACATTATGGTCATCACCAGTCCTGAGGTGCTCATTCCTAATGAACTCCCCAGGGTGTAGCGCGATCATCAACGGCCCTACAGAACCCGTTTGTCATCAATCTCCACTTCTGGCCTTGTAATCTGAGCACCAACTCTCTCTTTCCAGCTTTGAGTGGAGAATTATTATAATAATCCTTGCATTTGATCGAGCGCCTTATCACATCGTTGAGGTGTCTCAAAGCGCTTTACAGAATATTCTGTGAAGTGAACTGACCATGTATTTTGTGGGCGAAACCCAAATATTTTGTAGCTGAAAATTATTCCACAGTCCAGCACCGAACTATTCTAATCTGTTTTGGTCACACACACGCACAAGCACACGCGCTGGGGGTTGTTCTTTATCTGGATGGATAAAAATTCAGATTTGTGATGTCATTAAGAGGGGAAAGAGGGGGAGTTTGATCAGGGTAATGAGGGACTGAAAGAGCTAACTGGAGGTGACTGCAATTAGACCAACACTGGAAGAAGGGAAATATAAAATTAAATAATGGGGCTAGGAAAAAATAAAGTGAACAGTGGTGAACGTTACAACTCAATTTATTTTCAGGTAAGAGTATGTAATACTGCTCTCCGCGAGGCAGTACTGAGATCGTGATGATATGAATTAACAGAGTTTAAAATACTCTGTTATATAACATGAAATCAACGTTTTAATTCTAGTAAGACAATTCTCTTCACAATTCAACCTTGTCTCAGTCTCTTTTCTCTGTCACATTGTGTCCGCCTGGCTCAGTGGTAGGGCTTTCACCTTCAAGTCAGAAGGTTGTGGGTTCAAGCCCCCACTTCAGAATTTGGAATCACTTAGTCTAAGCTGACATTTCAGTGCAGTGCTGGTGGTGGTGGAGGGGGTTGTATTGTCAGAGGTGATGTCCTTTGGATGAGACGTTAAACCCGTCTGCCCGTTGATGTGGGCGTTAAAGATGCTGGGGCGCTTTTCAAAAAGAGAAGGGAGTTTCTCTCTCGCAGTGTCCTGGCCAACAATCCCCCAAATAAAATTGGTCACTCACTTCATGGCGGTTTGTGGGACATTGCTGTTCCAAAATACACAGTTACTCCACTTTAGAATATATCCTGTGAAGCTTGAGGTGCTTGACGTGATAAGGGGCTGCACCAAATGCAAGGATTATTATTATTATTATTATTATTATTGAATTTCACATCGCAAACTATCAAAATGTGTCATGCAAACTGGGAAAGAGCAGCCAAGCTTGGGATTGGGGATTGTCTCTATGGGTTAGCACACACACTGTCACAAACATTCTCTCTTACACACACAAATGCTCTCACAAACACAAAAACATATTGCATATACACACACACTAATACATTCTCATGTGCAGACACTTTCTTTTACACAGTATACCCTCTCTCATTCTTCCTCTCCCACACCCAGTTATTCACTCATTCACAGGTAATCTCTCACATTCAAACTCTCTCACATATTTTGTTTTTCGTCCACAAAATATACAGTCAATTCACTTTACAGTATATTCCGTGAAGCACTTTTAGATGTCTCAAAGACATGATAAAGCTCTATATCAAATGCAAGTATTATTATTATTACACGCTATCTCATGAATAGCCACACTTTCTCTTATAAATCCTCTCTGACTTTACCTGACTTTAATTCACATTCTCTTACATATACACTCTCTCTGTATCACACAGCAAAACACAAATAAGTAAACAAAATAGACAGATCTGGTTAGTTGGGCATTTTGCCCCTGCCTTCCCCTCGCTTTAAAACATTTTAAAAGCTGTTTTTTCTTCCCTTTAGCGGCTTCGAAACCGGTTGTTATTTTTTAACATTTCTGAAAGGTGTCTGGACACCACCCAGTGATTTGGAGAAAAAGACTTTTACATCTCTCTTGCTGAAATCAGAGCTGAGCAGTGAACGCTTCCAATAATAATAATAATAATCCTTGTATTTGATAAACCGCCTTATCACTTCTTCGAGGCTTCTCAAAGGGCTTCACAGAATATACTGTGTAATAAATTAAATAATAATCCTTGCTTTTCACAGGGAAATAAACATTTGGAACCAAGGTCTGAAGGGCAGGGGTAGAAGTGAGTGTCAATGTACCTTTAATTATCTCCTCTCTGGCTCCAGCCTCGTTGAAATAGATGGTGACTCGTGTCCTGTGATCATCTCTCTCGCTACCTGTGTCAATCAATGACGATAGCTGAGAGGCTCAGTAATTAACCAGTCCTTGGATTAGAGACAACTTAATAACACTGTCCTGGTGAGGCACAGATAACGCAGGCAGGAGTGTGGAAGTGTACGGAAAAGGGTCACACAACCCGAAGGGCCAGAAGCTGCTGTTGAGCGAATCCAATGGATCTTGAATAAGTTTTAAAAAAAGTTTTTTCTTTATTTAAAACAAGTCAGATTATCCCGTGCAAAAATGATCCAATAAAACCCAAGAATTTCAGGATCACACACACACTCACTCACATACACACACTCTCTAATACGCACTCGCATATGCACACACACACACACACACACTCTCTCACATACACACACTCTCTAATACACACTCTCATATGCACACACACACACTCTCTCATTTACTCAGTAAAACACAAATAAGTAAACAAAACAGACAGATCTGGTGAGTCAGACGTTGTCTCCCGTTTGTGACCCGTTTGGTTTCTCGGTTTCCCTGATTCCAATGGGATCAGAACCTTTAAATCCTGTGTCTTCCCAAACCACACACCCAACACACACACACACACCTAACCCACACACAACACACATACCCAACACACACACACACAACACACACACCTAACCCACACACAACACACATACCCAACACACACACACACACACACACCTAACCCACACACAACACACATACCCAACACACACACACACACACCTAACCCACACACAACACACATACCCAACACACACACACACAACACACACACCTAACTCACACACAACACACATACCCAACACACACACACACACCTAACCCACACACAACACACATACCCAACACACACACACACACACACCTAACCCACACACAACACACATACCCAACACACACACACACAACACACACACCTAACTCACACACAACACACATACCCAACACACACACACGCACACACACCTAACCCACACACAACACACATACCCAACACACACACACAACACACACACCTAACCCACACACAACACACATACCCAACACACACACAACACACACACCTAACCCACACACAACACACACCTAACCCACACACAACACACACCTCGCCCACACACAACACACTCAGCACAACACACACACACAACAAACCCAACACACACACACCTAAGCCACACACAACACACTCAGCACAACACATACACACACAACAAACCCAACACACACACACACACACACCTAACCCACACACATAACTCACCCAGCACACACACGTACACATCCAACACTGAAACAGACACAGAGCCAACACACACACACACACACACACACTCCCCCCCACACACACCCCCCCCCCCCCCCACACACACACACACACTCGTATACACAGCCCCCAGAGTAGGTTTCTCGGTGAGAGATGATGCCTTGACAACCCCAGTCTCCCAAACACTCATCAAAAAAAAAATCCGTGGCTCTTTCCTATTTCACTGGCACTAACTGGAAACACTTTGCCCGTCTCACACGGTATTTATCATCATAAATATTTGAACGGTATGAAATCGTTGTCTGGCAAGATGTTGTATTTGTTGTTAATGTGTTGTGAAATGCGTGAAAAAAATGCCTTGTTTTGTCAAGAGCCCCTTTTTAAAACAAAATAGGTCGACATCTAAGATTTAATACAACACAAGAAGAATTTTAATTTTTAAAGCTTTCTTCCTGTTGAAATGTATAGCTCTTAAATCGCAGAGCCACAGAGAAACTGGTGCAAATTGGTACCAGTTTGATGGCAATTCAGCTGCTAAATATATCTGTATATATCTCTATATTTTTTTAATCGCCATCATTGCAATTTAGTTCAAAGCAAATCTCATTTTCCAGGTTTTTTCTGCTCGTTTTTTTTTATTATTTGCATCTGTAAACGGGTTGTTGAGTTATTGAATCGAAATGTAAACCAGCTCATTACAATTTTATAGAGTAACGGGCGTTAAATTAAAATTTTGTCTTGCGAGAATTTAAACACATTAGACCCCTTAAACTTGGGGAATAAATACAAATAAATAAATCAGCCCTCGAAAAATATAACGAAATAAAAGAGAGGGACAACGAGAGAGCGAGGGAGGGAGGAGGCAGACAAAACAGTTTTTTTTAAATAAAATACCTAAATCGACCTTTTTTTTTTACATCGTTGAATATTAATAATATTTGCCATCTGTAAACTGAATTATTATTTATAAATTATTTATATTTATCTCCGGATTGTTTATATTTTCCGGATAATAAATATCCTTACTGTTTATAATATTATTTCTTTTCTAGATGTTTCGAAATATTATTCCAACCGCTGCAAAATACAAAAAAAATTGGCATTTAACGCCTTTAAAATAGTGACTTGTGTTTACAGACCGCACTTTCTCTATATGAGTAATATCTTAAAATACATGTGTATCAGAGAGCGCCTCTCCCCAGTCCAACTCGTTGCTGCTGCTGTTGTTATGGTTGTTGGTAATTTCATGTAAATAAAAAAAAACTAACTGTGAAAATTGCCGACAAAGAAGAGGCAGCAGCAGTAGGCTCAGTGGGAATAATTCATTCATTCATTCATTCATTCGTTCATTCATTCCATCGCCAGGCCTGCTCTCGTTATTAGCTGGAGACTGGATTGCGTAGCGAGGGAGTGAGCCAGGGAGGGAGTGAGGGAGTGAGCCAGGGAGGGAGTGAGGGAGTGAGCCAGGGAGGGAGCGAGCCAGGGAGGGAGTGAGGGAGTGAGCCAGGGAGGGAGGGAGGGAGTGAGCCAGGGAGGGAGTGAGCCAGGGAGGGAGTGAGGGAGTGAGCCAGGGAGGGAGTGAGGGAGTGAGCCAGGGAGCGAGGGAAGGAGTGAGCCAGGGAGGGAGTGAGCCAGGGAGGGAGTGAGGGAGTGAGCCAGGGAGGGAGTGAGGGAGCGAGCCAGGGAGGGAGTGAGGGAGCGAGCCATGGAGGGAGTGAGGGAGTGAGCCAGGGAGGGAGTGAGCCAGGGAGGGAGTGAGGGAGCGAGCCAGGGAGGGAGTGAGGGAGTGAGCCAGGGAGGGAGTGAGGCAGGGAGGGAGTGAGGCAGGGAGGGAGTGAGGGAGTGAGCCAGGGAGGGAGTGAGCCAGGGAGGGAGTGAGGGAGTGAGCCAGGGAGGGAGTGAGGGAGTGAGCCAGGGAGGGAGTGAGGGAGTGAGCCAAGGAGGGAGGAGGGAGTGAGGGAGTGAGGGAGGGGAGTGAGGGAGTGAGTGAGTGAATAAGGGAGGGAGTGAGGGTGGAACTCACTTCCCCCAAAAGGCTGTGGATATTGCATCTCGAGTCAAATTTTCAAGACTGAGGCGGACGGATGTTTGTCAGGAATAAGGGTATCGAGGGACATGGGGCCAAGGCGGGTAATTGGAGTCGAGGTACAGATCAGCCCTGATCTTACAGAACGGCGGAACGGGCTCGAGGGGCTGAATGGCCTCCTCTTCCCAGGTTCCTGTGAGGGGGAGTGAGCCCCAGTGGTTGAGCTGAGCGCCTGGTGACGATGTCGTGCCAGTCAAGAGGAGCTCTCCAATCAGGACAACCACTGCTCTCACACGTGTGGGCAACACATTAAAAAAAAGAGAGGAGAGAGAGAGAGAGAGAAAGAGAGAGAGAGAAACCTTACAAAGTGACACAAGTTCAGTTGAGTTTCCCCCCCAACCCCCCAACCCCCACCACCCCACCCCAAAAAAAAAAAAGAATTAAGAGAAGTGACGGTTGCTGATAGGAAGTTGGGAGTCTTTGCCAAAGGCTCGGGTCGGAGTGACCGCCGCTGTCCGAGGTGCTGAAGGTCCGTCCACTCGTTGTGTTCCAACGTCGCTGTCCAACTTCCACGTCGCAATTAGGAGAGAATTCGCAACAACTTTTCTTGCGCGTTTTAGCTCTCTCTTTCTCCCCTTCCCCCTCCTCCCACCTCCTCCTCTTTCTCTCTCTCTCTCTCTCTCTCTCTCCCCCCTCTGTCTCCCTCCCTCTCTCTCTCTCTCTCTCTCCACCCATCACTCTCACTCTTATCCACCAGGATTTATTTATTTTGCTTTCTCTACCTGTGAAGTTGTCAGGAATTGGGGGAAGAGAGAGAGAGAGCGAGAGAGAGGGAGAGGGAGACTTGGCGAGTCTCTCGCACAAGGAGAGCCACAGATGAACGCTTGACCAAATCCCAAACCAAGATTATATGTCTATCAATGGAAGGGTCCAACTTCGGGATTGATTCGATTCTATCTCACCGACCCGCCAGCCCGCCGGCGGCGCCCAAAGAAGACTCGTTGATGGGGGACTTGAGCCTGAGATCCCCCCCAGAGCTGAAACCCGGCTTGAGCCCGGTGTCGGACGGAGGCAGCGAGCAGAGTGAGCCGTGCTCGCCCGGGGAAGAGTGCGGGGAAGCGGCCGAGGCTCCCGCGGGACCCGCTGATGGTCTGGACTCTCAGGCGCACCCGGAGCGGGTGTCGGCGGCTCTGCCACCCAGGACTGTGACCTCTTCCTTCCTGATCAGAGACATCCTGGGCGAATGCAAACCTCTGGCCGCTTGTGCCCCTTACTCGAGCGGCGGCCAAGCCCCCCCCGAGCTCCCCCCGCACAAACACACACAGGAGGAATTCAGAGACAAGTTGGGAGACAAGCGGGAGAGCAATTCGGACTCGGAGTACAAAGGTAAGGTCGCACTGCGAGAGGGAGAGGGAGCGCGGAATGAGATCAACTCAGTATCCGTTGAACGACAACGTATTGCAGTTAATTCACTTGACGTTGTATCAGACGAAGCGCTTTGAGACGTCTCAACGATGTGATAAGGCGCTACATCAGGATTATTGTTATTATTATTATTATTATTATAACGTTAACTCATTGCTTCCAAATGATTGGAATAAGCAAAGGAAACTGCAATGGTGTATTATGTACTGCATTTTTTTGTTCTACCAGCGGCCAGAAGGTGAGTTTTTGTTTAGCTTTTCAAGAAACAGAGAGAGAGAGAGAGAGAGAGAGAGAGGAAATGAAATTAATTATTTTGATCTGATACAAAAGCCTTCGGGCGGATTCTTTTTCTGTGTGGGGGGGCATTTATCGGTATGAAATTTCGTCTTCTGACCATTAAGATTTTCTTTCAATGAATTAATTCAAAATGAAAAGTTGGGGTTCCGTTGGGTGCTTTGAGTTGCGTTTAAAGGGACGGACAGGACGGGACGGCAATGTGTGCGTATTTGTATGTGTCTGTGTCTGTGTGTGTGTGTCTGTGTATCTGTGTCTGTATATGTGTGTGTGTGTGTGTCCGTATGTGTGTCTGTCTGTGTGTCTGTGTGTCTGTCTGTGTGTGTGTGTGTGTCTGTGTGTGTGTGTGTCTGTCTGTGTGTGTGTCTGTCTGTGTGTGTGTCTGTCTGTGTGTGTGTCTGTCTGTGTGTGTGTGTCTGTCTGTGTGTGTCTGTGTGTGCGTGTGTGTGTCTGTGCCCTAAAGCTAAACCTTTCTATCTGAAATGAAGTTTAGTTTTGTCATCGAAATCCAGTTGAGCAGCGCCGCGTCAGACCTTAAAGTAAATAAACAACAGAGCTCATTTTTTCCTGTGACAGAATTGCCTTGTGTGTGTGTGTGTGTATGTGTGTGAGTGTGTGTATGTGTGTGTGTGTGTATGTGTGTATGTGTGTGTGTGTATGTGTGTGTATGTGTGTGTGTGTGTGTGTGTATGTGTGTGTGAGTGTACATGTGTCGGTGTTAGTATCAGTGTGTGTGTGTCAGTGTCAGTGTGTGTGTCAGTGTGTGTGTGTGTCAGTGTCAGTGTTAGTGTCAGTGTGTGTGTGTGAGTGTTAGTGTTAGTGTCAGTGTGTGTGAGTGTTAGTGTCAGTGTGTGTGTGTGTGTCGGTGTTAGTGTCAGTGTGTGTGTGTGAGTGTTAGTGTCAGTGTGTGTGTGTGTGTCAGTGTGAGTGTTAGTGTCAGTGTGTGTGTGTGTGGTGTTAGTGTCAGTGTGTGTGTGTGGTGTTAGTGTCAGTGTGTGTGTGAGTGTTAGTGTCAGTGTGTGTGTGTGTGTGTCAGTGTGTGTGTGTGTGTCAGTGTTAGTGTCAGTGTGTGTGTGTGTGTGTGTGTGTGTGTCGGTGTTAGTGTCAGTGTGTGTGTGTTTGTCAGTGTCAGTGTGTGTCAGTGTGTGTGTCAGTGTGTGTGTGTTTGTCAGTGTCAGTGTGTGTGTGTGTGTGTCAGTGTGTGTGTGTGTCAGTGTGTGTGTGTGTGTTTATTCAGAGCTGGTGTCTCCGGCAGCTCAGCCGCTTCTTGTCACTTTTATGTGGGTTTCTCCAAATCTGGAAACAAATCAGCCGCTGAGCCCAGAATAGGAAACCCGTTAGTTATAATACCCCTCACCCCAGGAATCTCTCTCCACCGCTAAACGACTTGACGACACTAAACGACACACACCCCAACCCCCACACACCACCCCCAACACCCCCCAAACACACACACACACACACATCCACTAGACACAAACACCACACATTCACCCCATACACATACAGACCCCCTCCCTCCCACCCTCACACACACAGCACCACCCTTCCCTCTCTCTCCCCCCCCACCCCCCCCACACACACATCCACACACACACACACAAACACCAGTCATCTCAGACTCAATGTGACCCTGAAATCAAACAAATGTTGGGAAATCGTGACTTACACTAAACAACGTGCTTCGAGTTTTCAGTGAGGAGTTAGTGCTCTGTGTGTATGTGTGTGTGTGTGTGTGGGGGGGGGGGGGAGTTGTTGTAGTATAATTGCTCCCAAATAATAAAAGCAAACTTACATTTAGTTGGGTGGAAAAACATTGAACAGTTAACATCTTTAACAATTATATATGTATATAATATTTATATTGAGATACACACACAGCGCCTTTCTTACAACCAACACAATAGCCTCCGTGGTACCAAACCAGTCCTGATGTTTTCATGCGAAAGGTTTATCTTCTTCATTCAGAAATAAATGTTATGAAAAGCCAGGGTTTTGTTCCCAAAATAGCAATCCAGCCTCACCCCCAACACAACCCCGTTTTGTTCCGCGATCTAACCATTAGCGTGTTGCTGGTTCATTCGGTTTATTTTCTCTCTGTCTCTCTCTCTCCGTCTCTCTCTTTCTGTCTCTCTCTTTCTGTCTCTCTCTCTCTCTCTCTCTCTCTCTGTTTCCCTCTCTCTGTCTCTCTCTCTCTCCGTCTCTCTCTTTCTGTCTCTCTCTTTCTGTCTCTCTCTTTCTGTCTCTCTCTCTCTCTGTCTCTCTCTTTTTGTTTCTCTCTCTCTGTCTCTCTCTTTCTGTCTCTCTCTCTCTCTCTCTCTCTCTCTCTCTCTCTCTCTCTCTCTCGGGTCTTAATAAAATATCTATAGGGAGAAGTGATCGCCAAAGTACCAATTTCCGAAAGAAAAACGGTTCTATTTTGGAAAAATTGAAAAAGGTATAATTCTGTAGCGACAGAAAAGTTATATGTGCATATATATATATGTGTGTATATATATAAAATATAAGTATATATAAAAAATATAAAAAATATATGTATATATAAAAGTTATATGTACAGGAAAGTTGTACCTATAGTGACTCCGGTTTGTAGTGGAGTACTATTTCACCTCAATTTACCGAGAACCCGGTTCAAGTATAAACGGTGCTGGAGATTACTGTAATTATAACATTTATGGGCGATTATAATTCCTATTACAGGAGGGTGTTAACGGGGCAGTTTATCAGAGGAATTTACTGGAAAGAGTCAAGCCAACAATTTAGATAATGAGGGGGAAAAAATAAATCTAACGCTGTTCCCACCTCCATATTGTGGGGGAAAGTTAAGTTCTTTTATTTTTAAATCAAGGAATCATTAGATATCGAGGAAAATAACTAGTTTGAAACAGGTCAGGAAATGGTGTGCGCGTATACCTTTATTACTCATTTTTTTTAAAACCTGCAATTTGCAAATAAACAGAGCGAAACGGTTTGAGAATCGGATCAGCGCGAAATGGTTTTTTTTGTGTGTTTTTTTTATTTAAAAAATCATTCGGAAATGACGGTCGCTCACACGCATAACTCACACACACACAGCTCACACACAGACACACACACACACACACACACATCTATATTCACACACAGAGCTCACACACAGACACACACACATCTATACTCATACACAGCTCACACACACATCTATACTCACACACACAGAGCTCACACAGACACACACACACTCACACACACATCTATACTCACACAACTCACACACAGACACACACACACACATTCACATCTATACTCACACACACAGAGCTCACACAGACACACACACAGACACACACACACACTCATCTATACTCACACACAGAGCTCACACTCACACATCCATTTACACTCTCTCTCACACACACAACACACACAGCTCACAGCACTTCTCAATCAGCTAAAACCATGAATAAATAAAACTCCCTTATTTTAAAAAAGGAAAACGATAAACTGTCAGAATGGGTGAAACTTAACACAAATCTCGGGGAATATATAAAGAAAACTAACCGGGAAGAGTCGCTATTTTTATATCAAGTCAAATTCAAAAATAAAAGACAGATAATTTAACCTTCCACTAACCAAGATAACAACCTGTCACACTGATAATCTTGAGCTGAGGGGAGGGAATCAATATTAGTAAAATAATTAATAGGAGACGCTTAGATCTGCCAATGAGTGCATTTTTCACGCATTTAATTCCCTAAAAAGCTTTGGCCTAATCGTGAGGTTGTTACAGAGTGAATATTTATAATTTTATTTTACCCTTTTAATAAGAATCATCATCATCATCATCATCATCATCAAGCTTGCATTTGATACAGCGCCTTATCATGTGGTTGAGGCGTCTCAAAGCGCTTCACGGGATATACTGTAAAGTGTAGTGACTGTGTATTTGGAGGGCGAAACTTTGCTCCCAAAAGTTGACCGTGTGATTGCCTTCCAACCTTCTACGTGACAGTGTTGAGATGGAGCTTTTCAACCCCCTGCGAACTTCAAACAAAAGTTTCTGACTTTTGATCGATTCGCCTTTTGCGAACGCCGGAGGGGGAGAGAAATTCACAGCGAAATGTGTGGATCCATTTTGCAATTAAGTAAAACCAGTAAATCAAATAATAAAAGGGACCGTGTTACGTTTTAGGAAAAAAAAAGTTAACTTGTGGGATGCGAGAGATTGGCTCTTTTTTTTTTAATGCCTTGTGGGTCACCATCGATTCCCTTTCATTTTATGTTTAGAGTGAACTGGTTCTAAATTAAAATTGTTTCTGAATTACTTTCAACCCACAATCAAAAGCCATGCGCTCTCTTCCACGACCTCACGGTTTCATTCATTTAACGTTCAATGGTCGGAAATCGCTGATGTGCCGCTCACAAACGTAAATAAATACATAGAAATACATTACACCATTGTGTTGGTGTGTGAGCAAAATCGGGTTGAACTGGAGTCACTTTCTCTTCGTGTTCATGTCGATCATCTCAGACAATTAACCTCAGCCCCGTTTCCTCGCTTCCCTCGTCCCTGTATTCATTTGGACTCAATTCGATCCAATTTTTTTTAAGATAATCATAATAAACATCCTGGCGTTTGAGACAGCGCCTCATCACGTTTTCGAGACGTCTCAAAGCGCTTCACAGCGTATACTGTAACGTGAATTGACTTTGTATTTTGCGGTCGAAATATGGATTTGCCACTGAGATTCCACCAGGGATTCACAGAGGCAAATGCGAGGCGTGAGATCTCTCCTCTTTACAAATGCACTTGCGCCAGTATAATTATAATATTATTACTAATACCATTAGTAATAATAATCGCAGCAGTTGGTTGGAGGTTGCCTTTTTTTTTTGCATTTGTTCAAATAACAGATCTACACACAGGAACCTTTGACAGAGGTTAAATCCAACAGAACAGTCGTTGCCAAGAAAGAGAGGTGAAAGGAGAACGGTGCAATTTTGTAAACTGCACCTTTTTATGTAAAGGGTGACCAAAAAAAGTCGCGATGGCTACTCTATTATCTAAACAGAAAACACAAATATCATCTTTTCTTTAAGACTTATTAGACACTGTACTGGTACCACGACTTTTTGGTCATCCTGTGCGTAAAAAACGCTTACAAAATCGCACCTTTCTCTACCCCTTCTTTCTTGGGAATGACTATTCTGTTGTAAATAATATACATTGTGCTGTATATTGTATCCACATGTATGTATTTCCCGTATATATAAACATATATGGTAAATAGATAAATGAGTCGGCGTGTTGAAACGGTCGTGAAATCGGTGCAAATAGGTTAACCTCACCGGTAGGAAACTTAAAAGAGAAAAGGTTTCCTACTTGCGTTATCGTGGGTGGCTTTCAGGCGATTTCCCCCCCAATATATATATTTTAAACAAAAATTTAAGAAAAGTATTACTTGCTCTGCTCAGATTGTGGAGTTTCGATTTTTTTTTAGAAAGAAAGAAATAATACAGTAAGATAAAAAGTAATATAAAGAGTACTCAGCAAAATCCACCCGGGGGGGGGGGGGGGGGGGCAACAGACAATTTCTGGGGATGTTTGCAATTAAGAAATGAGGTTTGAGAAATAATCTGATTCCTTTTTTCTCTCTCTCTCTCTCTGAGATTTTTTTTCACACTCTCCTGCCTCAGGGTATTTGAGGGGAATAAGTTTACTTTTGTGACCCACAGCTCTGTATATTGTATGTTTAGTGGGTTCCCCTCCACCCCCACCCCCCACTCACCCCACACACATACACACACACACAAACACTCACCCCTAGGTCCCAGGCTGGGAATATTGGGTTCAAGATATGGGTTTAATTTGCAAAATAATAATAATAATAATCCTCCCCTTTGATCATCGCCTTAACACGTCGTTGAGACGTCTCAAATCGCTTCCCAGAATGTACTGTGAAATGAATTGACTGTATTTTTGTGGGTGTAACTAACCATAATAATTAATAATAATAAATAACCCTGTGATTAGATTCTCTCTCTCACTCTATATACACACACATATATATATATATACATACATAAAGGATTTGTTTCTCTCTCCCTGTAATTTCGCCTCTAATCGGCTGAGTTGCTTCACTCGGCATCAGGCAGTTTCCCCTGTGGCTCAATTAAAAGGGATTATTTCTCTCGCTGGTCGTGGAGTTAGACCCAGAATCATCTCTCTCCATCTCTCTCTCTCTCTCCATCTCTCTCTCTCTCTCCCCTCATCCAACCTGCGCGAACAAAGAGGCTGAAAAAACGACCCCGTGTCTCTCCCAATGTGTTGGGAAACAGATCTGAATCCAATCTCTCTCCTAATCTTATCTCTCTCTAACTCTCTAACTCTTATTCTACTCAAGTCACGGGCAGGGGTGGGGGTGGGGGGGGGGCAAGTGGCCACTTGTGACCTTTTTTAACCCGAACCCTTTATTTAATGAAATCATTTATCATTATTATTATTTATTATTATTATAACAAAATCATCTGCAACACTTAGAAACCCAATCGAGAGATAACTGGTGATTACACGTGGAATACATGTCAGCGTCTCTGAATGATCCCGAGTCAGTGAGTGAGTGAGTGAGTGAATGAGTGAGTGAGAGGTAGATAGAGGCAGAGACCGTGAGAGAGAAAGAGAGTGAGTGAGAGTAAGAGGGAGAGAGAAAGAGAGAGAGAGTCAGTGAGTGAGAGAGAAACTGTGAGTGAGAGAGAGACACAGTGAGTGAGAGAGAGGGTGAGAGAGAGAGAGAGATCAGTGAGTATGAGTGTGTGTGTGGGGTGGAGGGGGAAAGTGATGGGGTGGTGGTGGGGGGGGGGGATAATGATGGGATGAGGGATAAACGCAGTCTCTCTTTCTCTCAGTGTGTCTGACTCCAGCCCAGAAAGTTAAGCATTGCCCGCACTAAGTGATGTACTTCTCAGAGCAGTTTCTCGGCAAAAAATATAATACAAACACCGAGAAAACCCCGTGACATCCGTTCACGTTTGCGAAACCCATCGCCCGAATTTTCCGATCGAGCGTCCCAGGAGGGGGGAGGGGGGGAGAGAGGGGCAGAGAGGAGAGAGAGAGAGAGAGAGAGAGAGAAGGAGTGACCGATGGGGATATAAGGAAGGAGAGATGGAGGGTGAGAGAGGGAGGCAGGAAGACAGAGAGGGAGAGAGAGAGAGAAAGAGTGACCGATGGGGATATAAGGAGGGAGAGATGGAGGGTGAGAGAGGGAGGCAGGAAGAGAGAGAGAGAGAGGGAATGAGAATGAGAGAGAGGTGGAGGGAGAGAGAGAGAGAGAGAGAGAGTGGGAATGAGAGAGAGGTCGAGGGAGTGAGAGAGAGGGAGGGAGAAAGTGTGAGACTGGAATGAATGAATGAATGAGTGAGTGAGTGGGAATGGTACTTGACTGAGACACTTGGTGAAATGAGAATTAGCTGAAGTCTAATGTTGTCCCTGTTTTCCCCCTCCCCTCTTGTTGTTGTTGTTGTTGTGGTCGATGTTGGTGTTGACGGTGATGGTTGAGCAGTAAAGGAAGAGGCGGAGAGAGAGATCTCCAGCAGCCGGGACAGCCCCCCGGTGCGGTTGAAGAAGCCCCGCAAAGCCCGCACAGCCTTCACAGACCATCAGTTGGCTCAGCTGGAGAGGAGCTTCGAGAGACAGAAATACCTGAGTGTGCAGGACAGGATGGAACTGGCCGCCTCGCTCAACCTGACCGACACCCAGGTCAAAACCTGGTACCAGAACAGGAGGTGAGACACACACACACACACACACACATCCAATGCAGTCCTGTAGCTCAGTGCTCAGAGCAATCTCCTGGCAAACCAGAGGACCTGAATTTGATTGTCTAAAGTGTGGACAATCTGAAGAAAAACCCATCAATTCGTTAAATCCTGTCCTGGATTTTTTTTGGGGGGTGGGTGGTGGTGGGGGGGTGGGGGGAGAGGGTAATAATTTTGCACTGGCCACTGTGACAATTAATCAACAACTACATCTAAATCCCACACACTCTAACACATGACCACTGTGAAGTTTGAGTTGCCAATCTCTCTCTCTCTCTCTCTCTCTCTCGATTGAGTGGTGTCACTTACTTAAGCTCTGAGGTTATTATCTCTCACAGTGGTTGTGTTGCTGACTGCACTGCACTGTACTACACTGCTCTGTGCTGGAGGATTGGGACAGGGAATTCCTGTAAACCTGATTGATATGACAGAAGGTGGGGATACACCCAGTTCTTTAACTGAAGCAAACCTTAGGCCGAAAGCTGCGCATTGAAGCAAATAGCTTTCCAAAGGGAATTGGATAGTCACTTTGAAAAGGAAACATTTCCAGGGCTATGGGGTAAGAGTGGGGAAGTGGGACTAGTTGGTGGCTGTTTCAAAGAGCCATCACAGGCAGGATGGGCCGAATGGCCTCCTTCTATGCTGTACGTTTCTAAGGTTCTAAGATTCTATGAACCAACGTAGTTAAGACACAACTACACATACGTGAGGAAGAAGGGAATAGGAGAATATATCAGAGGGCAACAAGAACGGTGGGGGTGGGGGGGTGGGTGGGGGGAATGTGTGGTGCACAGCACAGACTAATTGGGATCAGTGGCCCATTTCCTTATCATGTCATTCTGTGGAACTCAATATAACAATCAGACCTGCTATATGAGAATATAATAGCAAACCACAACAAATTACATAAAAATAATTACATACGAATAGTCCTGCACCAACCCTTAAAACTCACATATTCCAATCAGTTTTTTTTTTGAGCTGAGATCAGTTCATACCGTACAATTAAAAACAAAAATAAAAGCCTTGTCTCAAACAGCAAAGGCACTGCCCAGGGAGGTGAGATGAGAGATGTGTGAGTTACATAATAAATTGCAGTTGATACAGATAGAGCCTTTCACATCAGGAGGATGTCTTAAAACGCTTTGCAGAATACAGTGCATTGCGAAGTTTAGTCACTATTCTGGAAGCCAATATGGCTAATAATTTGCGCACAGAAAATGTCCCACAAACAGCCAATGATCAATTTTATCTGGAGGGGGGGGTAGGGGTGAGTTGTTGTCTGGGACACTAGGAGACGATTTTAGGTTGGACAATATTGAATGATTTAAATGGAATGATTTCCTCTCTTTATTCGTTTCGCCCACAACATATTGTCAATTCACTTTGCAGTATATTATTAGAATAATAATAATAATTCTTGCATTTGATATAACGCCTTATCATGTCTTTCGAGGCGTCTGAAACCGCTTCACAAATTATACTGTGAAGTGAATTGACTATATTTTGTGGGCGAAATATTCTGTGAAGAGCTTTGAGATGCTACATCGAATGCAAGGATTATTATTTATTATTATTATTCTATTGATATTCAGTCCTGGGTTGTAGCACCCTCCCCCCACCCCCCCCCCCCCCACCAATACACACACTCACCTTAGTTTTAAGCGACAAAGCCCCCCCCCCATACACACACCCACACCCACCTGTTTTTCTGATTATCCTGTATTTACATTATCTTGAGGTATTAACTGGGATCTTTGCTGTACAGGGTTTCACAATTGGATTGTTTTTTTTGGGGGGGGGAAGAGGAGGCAGCCATATTCACCTCCAAAATAGTCAGTACACTTTCCCGTATACATTGCGCCCACAAAGTATACAGTCACTGCATTTTATAATAATATATTCTGTGAAGCGCTTTGAGACGCCTCGTGGGGGTGATAAGGCTCCATATCAAATGCAAGGATTGTTATTGTCATATACCATCATTTACAACATTTATGATGATTATTATTTATTATTACGGTATACTATTATTTGCAAAAAAGAAAGAAAACGTGTTGTCGAGTTCCAGAGGAGATGCTCTAAATCTGGATTGACCCAACACCACACTTTCACTTCCCAACACAGACCCAACACGGACTGTGTGTGTGTGTGTGTGTGTTTGAGAGAGAGAGAGATATACACACGCACACAAACAGAGCAGAAAGCTATCTCCATATACACACACCCTGGAGCGCTACTGGTACATAAAGCTGTCAGTCCGACTCTTGAAAAATGTGCCGCAGAAACTGGGAACTCCCTCTGCAAAACCATTCAGTGCGGAATTTCTACACACATTTTAAAGTGGTTCAAGTCTATACGCTTCCGAATAGAAGTTTTGACATACAGGGGTGTTCACAAAGTCCTGTTACCCCATGTGTTCTCCACCCCCCCCCCCAACCCCCCACCCCACCCCCACCCCCCACTATAGTGCACTGGTCAACAACTGTCCACAAAGTCCTGTTATCCCGTATGTTTTCCCCCCTCTCTGCAGTGCACTGACCAACATCTGAAACATGTAGAAAATTTATGAGAGTTGTATTCGGAAGTGACTTCATTGTATTCGTACAGCCGGTGGGGGGGGGGGGGGGGTGAGCTGCTTGTGTGTGTGTGTGTGTGTGAGAGAGATGTTTGTGTGAGCTCTGTGAGTGTGTGTGTGGTGAGAGGGATGTGTGTGTGAGCTGTGTGTGTGCGTATGTATGAGAGGTGTGTGTGAGGTCTCTGTGTGTGTGCGTGTGTGTGTGTGAGAGAGGTGTGTGTGAGCTGTGTGTGTGTATGAGATGTGTGTGTGAGCTGTGTGTGTGTGTGTGTGTGAGAGAGAGGTGTGTGTGTGTGTGTGTGTGTGTGTATGAGATGTGTGTGTGAGCTGTGTGTGTGTGTGTGTGTGTGAGAGAGAGAGGTGTGTGTGTGTGTGTGTGTGTATGAGATGTGTGTGTGAGCTGTGTGTGTGTGTGTGTGTGTGTGTGTGTGTGTGTGTGGGTATGTGTCAGGCCAGTCTGACAGTCCGGCCCCAATGCCAAAGCCCCTTGTGTCCCAGTCTCTCTCCCCGTCACAGGAGATTCGCTGCGGATTGAGAGCGGATCAGCTCAGTTGGACACCACTGGGAGTGTCTGAGTCGTGTGTGTGTGTGTGTGTGTGATGTTCTGGCTACAGGAATATTGCAAGCGCTTGTGTGATTGTGTCTCACACTGTTTCACAATCCCCCTCCCCCTCTCTGCAAATCCCTCTTCCCCCCTTAATAGTGTTTGGGGGGGGGGGGGGGGGGGAGCTCCACAGTCAGTGCAGTCACACATCCCACCTCAAATCTCCTCCAGCTCCAACCCAATGCCAACCCAACCCAACCCAACCCAGCACAAGGGGTCACGCCTTGGTGAGGGCTCAGACCGGCTCCAGCCTGGGGGAGAGGGGGTGGGGAGGTGTCTGAGACTTGTTGGTGGGTCTCTCGCCACCGATCTTGACTTTATTCCATTTAGATTCGAGTCTGAGCCGCCTGGGGTCGGGGTGTAACTTCATATCACAGTGAGAGCGGGAGAGATTGATTACATGTGACGCCACACTCCAGAGACTGGAGCTGAGCACTAACTCTCTCTCTCTCCCTCTCTCTCTCTCTCACTTACTCACTTCACTCTCTGTGTCTCTCTTTTACTTACTCTGTGTGTGTGTGTGTGTGTGTCTCTCTCTCATTCACTCACTCGGTCTGTGTCTCTCTCTCACTCACGTTCTCTGTATGTATCTCTCTCTCTCTCTCTCTGTCTGTCTCACTCACTCACTCACTCACTCACTCACTCACTCACTCACTCACTCACTCACTCACTCACTCACTCACTCACTCACTCACTCACTCTGTGCATGTGTGTCTCTCTCTCACCCACTCACTCACTCTCTGTGCATGTCTCTCTCTCACCCACTCACTCACTCTCTGTGCATGTCTCTCTCTCACCCATTCACTCACTCTCTTTGCATGTGTGTCTCTCACCCACTCACTCACTCTCTTTGCATGTGTCTCTCTCTCACCCACTCACTCACTCTCTGTGCATGTGTGTCTCTCACCCACTCACTCACTCTCTCACAATAATTTCATCTCCGGACATAAAAGCCCTTGTTTCCTAACTCGTCGACTTCCATTTTCCGCTTTATAGAGAGAGATAAATACATCAATAAATAACTGGAGCCCAGTACAGCAATAAGTGTGTGTGTGTGAGAGAGAGAGAGAGAGAGAGAGAGAGAGGGAGGAGTACATGTCTGTGTGTGAGAGTGAGAGACACAGTGAGACAGAGAGTGAGTGTGTGTGAGAGAGACACAGTGACAAGAGAGAGAGAGAGGATTTAATTGAAACCCAAATCTGTTGTTACCAACACAAATTCGTGTGAGGACACTTCACTGTGTGTGTGTGTGGGGGGGGGGGTTGGGGGCTGCTGGTTATTCATTTTGATAGAGTTTTTTATTTGAATAAAAATAAATAAAGTTGAAGCGCACAGAATCTCAGATGAAAGGCACAATATAGCAAATAGAGATACATAACTGTCTGGCGAAACATAACTTTATTGAGGCGTCTCCCCCCCCCCCCCACACACACACACCACCCCCACCACCCCCTCAGCCACATATATGTCACCTGGTTGGTTCTTTATCCAAGGTTCCCACGTTCAACGCAGGGAAAGTCACTCTTAAATGATTTCTTCAACAAGTCTCACTCACACACTCACTCACTCACCCACATCCACACCCCACACCACACACCCACACCCCACACCCACACCCACACCCACACCCACACCCCACACCCCACACCCACACCCACACCCCACACCCACACCCCACACCCACACCCACACCCCACCCACACCCACACCCACACCCACACCCACACCCCACACCCACACCCCACCCCACACCCCACACCCACACCCCACCCCACACCCACACCCACACCCACACCCACACCCCACACCCACCCCACCCACACCCCACACCCACACCCACCCACACCCACACCCACACCCACACCCCACACCCCACACCCACACCCCACACCCCACACCCCACACCCACACCCACACCCACACCCCACACCCACACCCCACACCCACACACCCACACCCACACCCACACCCACACCCACCCACACCCACACCCACACCCACACCCCACACCCCACACCCACACCCCACACCCACACCCCACACCCCACACCCAGCCTTGGGGAGGGAAGGAATCGGTTGACAAGTGATTTGCGCTCAACAGCATATGAAGGTGTCTCCAATATTATCATTGTTTATTAAATCCAGAGACGGCAAACAAAATTACATATTTCTTTTTTAGAAAAGGCGAATTTGACCCACTTTAGTAGAGGGTTGTGCCACCGCTTAATCGATAGCGTTTTTCCATTCTTCGTCGCAGTGGCGTTAACTTAAATTTGTTTTTATTTTTTAAAAAAAATGCTGTTTTTAAACCACGACTGAGGCGGACTGGACAGAGACTTGTGAATTTCACATGAAATCTGACTGTATTGTCAGCTTTTACACACACACAACACACACACAAACACACATATATATGTAATAAAATCAACGATTCTAATTCACATTAAAGCAGAAATCGCTGCCCTCTGCGGCTGATCTGTGCAATAAAATTCTAGTTCAGAATTTGTTTTAGATTTGAAGATCCACAAGAAAACACCAGTCCGAACCCCACCTCACAGTGCGTTCTGGTGAAGCGCTCCGAGACGTCTCGACGACGTGATAAGGCGTTATCAAATGCAACGATTATTATTATTATTATTATTATTAAATATTATTATTATTAAATATTATTATTATTATTATTCACCTCGTGGCTGTTTGTGAGGCAAAGGAGTGAATAGGTGCAAAACACTCTTGACTTACACACACACACACACACACACTCGGTCACTCCGATTTGCCACAATTTACCGGTGAAGCAGTTTGTGACATTTTGTCTATAATAATAATAATAATAATAATAATAATAATAAATAATAATAATAATAATAATAACAATCATAAACCTTGCGCTTGATATAGCGCCTCATCTCGTCGCCGAGACGCCTCAAAGCGCCGTACTGCGGGAGTGTAGTGACTGTGCATTTGTTGTTCTGTGTTTGGGGAAAAATGCCACGATGATATTTAGACCCTTTTTTTCTCTCTCTCTCTTTCTCTCTCTCTCTCTCTCTCTCTCTCTGATTGTGTGTTGCGTTTGTTTTTATTGTTAAATATTGGGTTTTTTTTGTTTGTGTTTGTGTTGGGTTTGTGTTTCTGTTTGTGTTGTGTTGTGTTTGTGTTGGGTTTGTGTTTGTGTTTGTGTTGTGTTTGTGTTTGTGTTGGGTTTGTGTTTCTGTTTGTGTTGTGTTGTGTTTGTTTGTGTTGTGTTTGTGTTGTGTTTGTGTTTGTGTTGGGTTTGTGTTGGGTTTGTGTTTGTGTTGGGTTTGTGTGTTTGTGTTGTGTTTGTGTTTGTGTTGTGTTTGTGTTTGTGTGTTTGTGTTGTGTTTGTGTTGGGTTTGTGTTGGGTTTGTGTTTGTGTTTGTGTTGGGTTTGTGTTTGTGTTTGTGTTTGTGTTGGGTTTGTGTTTGTGTTTGTGTGTGTTTGTGTTTGTGTTGTGTTTGTGTTGTGTTTGTGTTGGGTTTGTGTTTGTGTTGTGTTTGTGTTTGTGTTGGGTTTGTGTTTGTGTTGTGTTTGTGTTGTGTGGTGTGTTGTGTTGTGGTTTGTGGTTTGTGTTGGGTTTGTGTTGGTTTGTGTTGGTTGGTTGTGTTGTGTTTCTGTTTGTGTTGTGTTGTGTTTGTGTTGTGTTGTTTGTGTTTGTGTTGGGTTTGTGTTTGTGTTGGGTTTGTGTTTGTGTTTGTGTTGGGTTTGTGTTTGTGTTTGTGTTGTGTTTGTGTTGGGTTTGTGTTTGTGTTGTGTTTGTGTTGGGTTTGTGTTGGGTTTGTGTTGTGTTGGGTTTGTGTTGGGTTTGTGTTGGGTTTGTGTTTGGGTATTGTTTTGTTTTGCAAACAGGACGAAGTGGAAGCGTCAGACAGCGGTGGGACTGGAGTTATTGGCTGAGGCTGGAAATTACTCGGCGCTACAACGCATGTTCCCGTCTCCTTATTTCTACCATCCCAACATGGTCTCGAACCTGGACCCCACCGCCATGTACATGTACCGCGGCCCCACCGCCCCTCACCCCGTCATACAGCGGCCCATCGTGCCCAGGGTTCTCATCCACGGACTGGCAACGGGCGCCGACGTGCAACCCCCGTCCCTCCCCGGCCTGGCAGGCGTCCTCAGCCGCGCACCTCAGTCACGGTGAACCGCTCCCCCCCCCTCCATTACCTCCACCACTCTCTCCCCTCTCACCCACTCCTTCTCTCTCTCTCTCTCTCCCACCCCCACTCTCACCCTCTCTCTCTCTCTCTCCTCAACTCTCTCTCTCTCCTCAACTCTCTCTCCCTCCCCCACTCTCACCCACTCTCACCCTCTCTCTCACCCCCTCTCTCTCCTCAACTCTCTCTCTCTCCCCCACTCTCACCCACTCTCACCCTCTCTCTCACCCTCTCTCTCTCCCCAACTCTCTCTCTCCCCAACTCTCTCTCTCCCCCATTCCCACTCTCACCCTCTCTCCTCAACTCTCTCTCTCCCCACTCCCACTCTCACACTCTCTCTCCCCAATTCTCTCTCTCCCTCACTCACACTCTCCCCAACTCTCTCCCCAACTCTCTCTCTCTCTCTCTCTCTCTCTCTCCAACTCTCTCTCTCTCTCCCAACTCTCTCTCTCCCCAACTCTCCCCAACTCTCTCTCTCTCTCCCCAACTCGCTCTCTCTCCCCAACTCTCCCCAACTCTCTCTCTCTCTCTCCCCCAACTCTCTCTCTCCCCAACTCTCCCCAACTCTCTCTCTCCCCAACTCTCTCTCTCCCCCAACTCGCTCTCTCTCTCTCCCCAACTCTCCCCAACTCTCTCTCTCCCCAACTCTCTCTCTCTCTCCCCAACTCGCTCTCTCTCCCCAACTCTCCCCAACTCTCTCTCTCTCTCTCCCCCAACTCTCTCTCTCCCCAACTCTCCCCAACTCTCTCTCTCCCCAACTCTCCCTCTCCCCAACTCTCTCCCCAACTCTCTCTCTCTCTCTCTCTCCCCAACTCTCTCTCTCTCCCAACTCTCTCTCTCTCCCCAACTCTCCCCAACTCTCTCTCTCCCCAACTCTCTCTCTCTCTCTCTCTCTCTCCCCAACTCGCTCTCTCCTTCTCTCTCCCCAACTCTCTCTCTCTCTCTCTCCCAACTCTCTCTCTCTCCCCAACTCTCCCCAACTCTCTCTCTCTCTCCCAGCTCTCTCTCTCCCCAACTCTCTCTCTCCCCAACTCTCTCTCTCTCCCCAATTATCTCTCTCTGCCCCAACTCCTCTCCCCAACTCCTCTCCCCAACTCTCTCTCCCCAACTCTCTCTCTCTCCCAATTCTCTCCCCAACTCTCTCTCTCCCCAACTCTCTCTTTCCCCCTAACCCTCTCCCCAACTCTCTCTCTCTCTCCCGCAACTCTCTCCCCAACTCTCTCTCTCCCCAACTCTCTCTCTCCCCAACTCTCTCTCTCTCTCTCCAACACACTCTATCTCTCCCAAACTCTCTCTCCCCCAACTATTTTTCTCCCTAACTCTCCCCGGCTCGGATGGACTTTTGACGATGAATAAACCACCAAATAAATTAAAAAAAACATCAGGGAGAGAAAGTGAAAGAGAGTGAGAGAAGAGAGAAAGAAAGAGAGAGAGAAAGAGAGTGAAAACATTTGGAAAAAACGTTTTAACATAATGGTAAACGATTTTTTTCTCCCATTTATAAAAAGAAGAGTGTATTTACTTTCTTTAAGGTTCTTCATAATCTTAACTTATTTAAGTTTTTTTAAAAAAATTATTATTATTATTCCCAAACTTTTTTGTGTATATATACTGTATAATATGTATAAAGAAATGAAAGTTTGGCTCTGTGAGGTAACAATTATTTAAACTTTTTTTGTTTAAAAGCCGTGTTGCTCCCCTACAGATTATTATTATTATTATTATTATTATTGTTTTCTCTCCTTTTAAAATATTTATAGTTTTTTACAAAGAAAAAAAGAGACAACAAACAAACAAACAAACAAACAAACAAACAACTTCACGTGGGGAACATTTAACACAAACCGCGGAAGTTCTGCACTATTTAAACAGACTGGAAGAGAGAGAGAGAAAAAAAAAACTTTTTTTGTTGTTAATGTTGTTGTTGTTGCTGTTGCTGTTGATGTCCTTGAAACTTTGAAAGTTTACGATTTATTTAAAGACACAAAGTTGCGAGAATCGCGGCGATTTGTATATCTTAATTACTGTAAATACCTGGTGAACAGTTCATTTTAACCTGGCGTTGGTTTGAAGTCTTATTTCCCTCTGATTTTCCAGCTTTTAGTGAGTCGACTGCAATAATACGTTGCGTTTCGCCCACCAAACACACAGTCACTACACGTTACAGTATGTTCTGCGAAGCGCTTTGAGACGTCTCAACCGCGTGATAAGACGCTATATCAAATGCAAGGATTATTATTAATATTATTAATATGATTATTAATATTAATGGTATTATTAGCATTATTAATATTGATATTATTATTATTATTATACATTTTCTCCCGTGTGAAGGGCAAACCTTATCCTCGAAGACATATGTTTTTTTTTTTTTTGGGGGGGCGGTATGAAAAACATATTATTATTATTATTATTATTATTACAGTATTATTTGACTTCTCCCGTGTGAGAGTGGTGTGTGTGTGTGTGTTTGGAGGGGGGGGGGGGGAGAGAAAAATAAAAATAATAACTATAATAATAGAATCAGATTTTTAAATGATTTCCCTTCACACCAGGAAAAAAAAAGTTAAATAATAATAATAATAATAATATATATATAATAATCCTGGCTTTTGCACTGCTCTATTTTGGGGGTATGGGGAAAAAAAGCTGTTTTATTGTTATTACAGTATTATTTTACTTTTTTTTTCCACTTCTTGCATTTGCAAAGATTTTTTTTGGGGGGGAGTGGGGGTGGGGGGTGGGGGGAGTGGGGGTGGGGGGAGTGGGGAGTGGGGGGTGGGGGGGTATGAAAAATATCTGATGACTTATTTTCAGCAGCAGCAGCAGCAGCAGAGCCGGAGCCTGAAGCTCACAGCTGTTGGGGTGACAGACTGCAAACGCAACCCGACTCCGGGAGCCCAACAGATGGGGAGCGGAGTCCTGGACATTCCCCGACGCCATATCAGCCTCTCAGCGGAGAGGGGCCATAGGGATAGTGCGGTGTGTGAGAGACAGACAGAGAGAGAGAGAGAGAGTGAGTGTGTGTCTGTGTGTCTGTCTGTGTGTGTGTGAGAGAGTGTGTCTGTGTCTGTGTGTGTGTGTGTGTATGTGTGTGTGAGTGTGTATGTGTCTGTCTGTGTGTGAGAGTGTGTCTGTGTCAGTCTGTGTGTGTGTGTGTGAGTGTGTATGTGTCTGTGTCTGTGTGTGTGTGTGTGAGTGTGTATGTGTCTGTGTGTGTGTCTGTGTGTGTGTGAGAGAGTGTGTATGTGTCTGTGTGTGTGTGTGTGTGTGTGTGAGAGAGAGAGTGCATGTGTCTGTCTATCTGTGTGTGTGTGTGTGTGAGGGGAAGAGACAAGACCACACACACACACACACAACAGACACACAAAAAAATATCTCGTTATCTACATTCACACAAGAAAACCAGAGGAGATAACATACATTGATGGACTTGGTTTGCGTTCACTCGAGACTCAACTCAACAAGTCAATATTTGGTGATTTTTTTGCAGAAAGAAAACCTCATTGAAACCACTTTCTCCCCATCACATGAAAAAAAGAACATCAAATGATGTGAATACATTGATTGGCTATTGACTATATATTGACTGTATATCCTGTACAAAAAAAAACGAGACGCTCTCATCCATTATAGATCACAAACTGTGTATTTAAGTCAAACCGAATACAAATACTGTATATTTAAATCCAGGCAACAAAGCCGCGCACAATATGAATTTCTACCCATTTATTATTCGTGAATTTGTGGCAACACACAACCGATTCAGCTTCAAATATTTAGCTTTTTTTATATAAAAAAATAAGTTTAAAACTCTTGTTATTATTTGTCTCTCTCTCTATCTGCGAATTGGCGCCGAGTATCAGTGTTATACCCAGTGTTATCTTTTCGGTTTTGGCATTTAATAGTTATTTTCTAACAAAATATAATATTTTCTCTTTTTTCTAAACAAAATATCTAAAAAAATAATGATTTTCTCTTTTCCTCTTCCCTCCTTTTTAAATGTCCACTATTTATGGTCTATTTTTATTTATTTTTCTCTTATACTATTATTTGTGTGTGGGGGTAAAATTTAAATATAAATTCAATTATTGACCGTATTGTTCAACTTGTTCAATCATTTATAATACATTATATCGGTCAAACTGGTAAAGAAATCGCTCCTATTTATTAGAAAACAATTGGAAAAATCCTGAACTTCATTCTAACATGCAGAACCCTGTTTTATTCGAAACGAATTGGATAATTAAAATAAAAGATATTTATTTTATAATTGAAAATAAATAATTGTAATAATTAGAACATCTTTATTATTAGTTTTTTTTAAAAAAAGCCACTCAGGTGGTTCTGAGAATAGAGAGAGGTTTTTGGGGGGTGGGGGGGGGGGAAATAGGGAAGAGTTAAAGTCCTATTCTACTTCCAAGTCCAGACCAGATGACTTTACACTTAGAGCAAAGTATATTCGCTCTATTGTGGTTCCCTCAAATTAATTCCCATTGCCCACAGCGTGAGACAGTCGCCCTGTTAGCCACACACTCCATCCGGCCCCACCATCAGTAAGTAAATCACAGTGAGCTATTTTCCTCTGTGCCAAACCACCCCCCAACTCCCCCCAAAATAATCCATCCCATAATAACCACACTCTCCCTTCTGCCTATGGACCAAACAATTCCAGTTGTTCTAACTTTGATGGATGGAATGTGAAATAAAAACAAACATCACTCTAACACTATCCTGAAACGTTGTGATATTTCTTCACACACACACACACACACAGACGCACACACACACACACTCACACACATACAGACACACACACTCACACACACACAGACACACACGCAAACACACACAGACACACACACACAGACACACACACACACACACACAGACACACATACAGACACACACACACACACAGAGGCACATACACACACTCGCACACAGACAGACACACTCACACACATACAGACACACACGCAGATAC